GTAGTCATGCTGCTGCCGCGCCTTGCTCCCCATCCCCTCCGGCAAAATACAACAGCCGCAGCCGCCCAATCAGAGCGCCACAAAAGTTTGAGTGAGAAACTTGTTCATATAGGTCTATAGACTACTCGGCCAGAAAATCTCATGATAATAACCATTGTGTGTGGCTCTACAGCCTCAATTTTGGATTGACGATTTTGGTGTTTCAGTGCATTGCGCAAATCCGCGCATTGCGCGCACAGACACGGTATGGGCGGTCTCTGATCCAGGTTTCTTGAATACACACAAGAAACACAATCAATCGAGATCATATTTCAATAATATTGTCAGGAACCTCTCTGGGCTCTTGCCTGAACAGGTGGGATATAGATTCAAGACTGAGAGGTACAGCCACATCGATAACGACCCTTCGATGAAGTGATTATGTTTTGACGCTTCAATGAGAGTGATGCAGAGAACAGATGGATGCAGGCAAGGAAGTGGGGCAGCCCACTAAATCGATTGACCAATGAGAGCACAAGAAAAACGTGTTCACACACGCCGCCACCTGGGGAGAAGCTTTCGACGCGTCGAACAACAGCATTTGTTCTGTTGCGAGCATTGTTCACCGGTCCGCTAATTCCTCGACTTGGGCAAGATGTTCGCTGATGACTTTCACATGAAGGGCGAACGTTACGCCTACGGTGACTTCATGTCGAACACTCCTCATTCAGACAAATCAATGCGTCCCCAGGAGAGGAAATTTGCTATTCTGGTATCTGGACAATAAACGCTACACAAAGCCAGCACACGGCGAGGCTTCCGACGGGCAAGTCTTCACTCCTGCTTGAACAGATTATAGTCCTGTGTAACGGCTGCCGAAGTCCGGAAGTTTTCTCGTCACAGAGGTTCGTGAATAACGTAATGAACGAAAATTTGGACCTCTTGTGTAGGAGGTGCCTATAGGCAAACATGGCCATCATTGGACAAAGCGATCTTCCGTCGGGGAAGTCCGCGTTGTAGCGAGTACCCACAACGACATGACTCGACGCATGGACCCTAATGAAAACCCCGGAATCGACAATGCCGCCATCGAAGAAATCGAACGTTGAGTGTGGGTTTCTCAGCGAGGCTGTTGTGCGACTACGTTTGTCATCCCAAGCCTGGCATATGCGTTGATCAGAATCCTGTCAAATACGTTCGTCGAGCGGCACTGGAAGCTGTAACCCTCATCATCAAGCTAGCCTTTTCAATACCACGATGTCGCTTTCAATGCCGCCTCCAACAGATCAAATCGTGTCTGAACCCCCCGCTCCTACCGCAATCGATACTAAGTCTAACACTGAATCGAACTACCCACGCAACAATGAACTGGAGTCTCTGCAGTATAATAGGAATGACGAGGATTCTGAGTACCCCGAAGGAGGTGCCACGGCCTGGTTGGTCGTGCTTGGTGCATGGTGTGCTATGATACCATCTATGGGTCTGCTCAACACCGTTGGCGTTCTCCAGGCATGGGTCTCTGAGCATCAATTGCATGGCTACTCGGAGTCAAACATTGGTTGGATCTTCAGTGCATACGCATTCTTCTTGTATATTGGTGGTGCACAAGTTGGTGAGTACATACCGATACATGCTAGCTGCTTCAAGACATTGCTAACGTGCAGTTCTTTAGGACCAATCTTCGATGCCCATGATATCAGATATCTCATTGTGCCTGGCAGCATTGGTATTGTTGCAGCTATAATGTGCATGAGTGTCTCCACAGGTATGTGTCCGGCACAATGCAGTGACATAGTTTTTTCACTCATGAAGTCCTCTAGAATACTACCAACTACTGCTGTCCTTCGGAGTGCTTGGTGGATCCTCAGCCTGCCTCTTGTTCACACCTGCAGTGTCCGTCGTTGGCCACTGGTTCTGCAAGCGTCGAGCTCTCGCCATCGGCATCGCTTGTACAGCTGGAGGACTTGGTGGTGTTATCTTTCCACTCCTGATTCTCTACCTTGCCCCAATCATCGGTTTCCCGTGGACTATGCGCATCGTCGGTTTTGTATGCCTCGTCATGTGCATCATTGCCTGCCTACTACTCAAGAAGCGACTTCCCCACAACAAGCATGCCGGTGCATCCATCGATCTCAAAGCACTTAAGGATGCCAAGTACGCGCTCACTACACTGGCTGTGTTTCTCGTCGAATTTGCCGTCTTCGTCCCATATTCCTTCATTTCGCTGTACGCCATCTACGCAGGAGTCGAACAGCAGAAGGCCTACCTCATCAGCGCTCTTCTCAATGTTGGCGCCATCCCCGGACGTGCGCTTCCTGGCTACGTTGCCGATCGCTTTGGTGTTTTCAATACCATGCTTGCAACATCTTTGACATGTGCCACACTTATCTTCGCTTTGTGGCTTACAGCTGCACGGAGCGAGGCAGCTATCACAGCTTTTGCCATTGTGTTCGGCTTTTGGTCTGGTACTGCAATCAGCTTGACGCCTGTCTGCGTTGGTGCAGTCTGCAAAATCGAGGATTACGGAAAGAGGAACGGCACTACATTCTCGATTGCGAGCTTTGCAGCGCTGATTGGCATTCCCGCCGCCGGTGCCGTTCTGGAAGCAAGCGGAGGAGTTTATACAGGGCTGATTATCTTCGCTGGTGGTCTCTACCTCGCTGCTTTCGCCGTGTTTCTGGTGGCAAGAATCGTGGGCTGGGGTCGGGACTGGAAGACAATGTGCTAAAGATTTTGAATCGTGACTGCAATTCGATTGTAACAACGACGACCGAGTCTTTCAGGAACAACCGAATTTCAATGAGATAAGCTTAAGACCCCAGATACTTGAAACCCTTCAAAATTACGATGTCGCACCAGCTAGCTTACGATCATATCTAATCACACTCTGACACAACACCTCAGCACCCAACGCACAATCCTCATCGCTGGTCCATTCCTCCGGATGGTGACTGACACCATTCTTGCTCGGAACAAATATCATCGTTGTCGGGCAATGTCTACTGGTGTAGACGCTGTCGTGGCCAGCACCACTCGTCATATCTCGATGCAATGAGCTGTTGCCCAATACTGCATCTGCAGACTGCCTTACAATATCGATACAGTCCTTGTGGAACTTGACAGCTGGTGAGTTGCTGTCTGTGCGCCAAATAACGGATAGTGGTACCGGCTCTTCACCGGCAAGAGCGGTAAAGTCTTTCTTGAGCTGCGCTTCCATGGCTTCGACAGTCGAATTGTCAGGAGCGCGGATATCGAGGCTGAAGCTGACCTTATTAGCGATCGTGTTGGTGCTGCCTGGCTCCAGCGTGAGGATGCCAGTGGAGGCAAGAGCTGACAGCTCATGGCCCTTCTTGTTCGAGTGTGCGATCATGCGTGCGGCACCCAGCAGGGCATCTGCTCGAGCACCGTAGGGTGTAGTGCCCGTGTGCGCCGCTCTCCCTTCGACCTCGATTGTGTACCACTTGTATGCCTGAACACCATTCACGACTCCAATTTTCTGCTTTTCCATCTCGAGTATCGGTCCTTGTTCGATGTGCAGTTCGAAATGAGCACTCATCGGGGTTGCGCGGTAGCTCGCCGGTGTCTCGCCAAGGTAGCCCTGTCTCTTCAGCTCCGACAGCAGAGTCGCGCGGGTACCTCCGACCTCTTTCAGACCATGCGCCGCCTCTAGTGATATTGCTTCAGCCCACACACCGGAAGATACCATAGTCATAGGGAAGCGAGCACCCTCTTCGCTGCAAGAAGTCAGTTTCCTCTTGAAAGCGGAGCGGTTGCAACACGTACTTCGTCCAGTTGACCACTCCAATAGGATACTCGGTCTCAACATTGGCGTCTTGCAGCACTTTCAACGTCTCAACACCAGCTAGAATGCCCAGAATTCCATCGTAGCGGCCACCGGTGGGTTGTGTGTCGAGGTGAGAACCAACAAAGATGGGTGCGACATCCTGCCTACGCCCCGGACGCACTGCAAAAATGTTTCCCATCTTGTCGATAGTGATCTCGCAACCAAGTGACTTCGTTGTGTCGACGAACCAGTCACGCACTTTCTTGTCTGAGTCTGAAAGAGCAAGGCGCTTCATGCCTGTCTCGGTTGCTGCTCTAGTACAAGGGTCAGTACGTGTAAAACCCTCTGTTGCAGCTAATATGTGTACTTACTGTCCCCATCGATGACCTGTACCAAAACTACAGGTGTGATGAAGTGTTTCCATCATTCTGCGCTGGTCGACTTTCAGTGTCTGGAAGTCAGACTCCTTCATATCGACACTTCGAATCTGCCATATGGGCGTGGTAGAGAATGCTCTTGAGCAGCCACCGCGAGCAGCACGAGACGTCCGAGTCGTGAGACGATGCAACAGTCTTTGCGAAAGATACATGTTGTGTGGTTGTTGAGGGCCGATGCAATCGCTGACGAAGAAGGCGATGGCGGCACAGTGGCTGGATTTTGGATTTGATGAAAGACAGAGGACTTTCAAGGTCTTGCCGACAATTTCTCCATATCCACTCTCCGGACCATAGAATTTGTGGTTTCTCGACTTTACGTACTACTTGTGGCCCACGGAGTGTTCTACGCTACGTGTTCTGGAAGTCGCTGACTTTGCCGACGGGGAACTTTTAGGTGCGCCTCTGGACCCTTGCGCCGGACGACTTTAAAGTCAAACGCCAATGCACCTTCCCATGCCTCAAGCAACGCAAGTTTTTATCATGGCTCAATCGCGCAGGCCTATTTTCTTCAACAACAAGACTGGACCAGTCCAAGTCGACTCCGATCTCTCCGTCGTACACCAATTCCACCAACAGCTTCCCAACTATTCGCGAACACCGCTCATTTCTCTGGACGAGGTCGCAAAGAAGCTCAAAGTCAAATCTGTCTTCGTCAAAGATGAGAGCAGCCGACTTGGTCTCCCGGCCTTCAAGATCCTTGGTGCATCATGGGGATCGTGTCGCGCCATCATAGCCAAGACTGGCATTCCTACCGACTCACCTCTCGAGAAGATCGCGCAAGCTGCACAGAAGGAAAGCATTGTGCTCTTCACTGCCAGCGCAGGCAATCATGGACGAGCCCTTGCTGCCATGGCCAGGATCCTGGGGATCCAAGCTCGTATCTATGTACCCCGCACAGTCAATGATGAAGCCATTCGCCTCATCTCTTCAGAAGGTGCGAAGGTTACTGTCTCGAAGAAAGACTATGATGGTGCCATGGGTGAGGCTTGGGACGAGGCGAGTACCACTCAAGGCGGACTTTTTGTTCAGGACACCGCTTTCGAGGGATACGAGGACATTCCGAAATGGATCGTCGAAGGCTACTCCACTCTCTTGTCCGAGATTGAAGAGCAGCTAGAGGAAGAGGGCCTGAAAGCAGATCTTGTAGTCACTCCGGTCGGAGTAGGTTCTTTGGCACACGCTGTTGTGCGTCATTGCAAGTCGAAAGATCGCAACTGCGCTGTCATGTCAGTGGAGCCTGACACCGCAGCGTGTCTGTACAAAAGCTTAGCGGCCGGCAAGTCGACACCAGTACTTACCACAAAAACCACAATGGAGGGTATGAACTGTGGCACACTCTCATCGACTGTGTTCGAGGACCTGCAGCAAGGTATCGACGCAAGTGCAACTGTTTCAGACTTCGAGTCACACCAAGCCATTCAGTATCTAGCAGAGAGAACTGTCAACAGCGGCCCCTGTGGTGGTGCATCCCTTGCTGCATTATGGCGTCTTGCAGACACCCCCTCACGTCCTGTGTGGCTTGCTGAGGACGCTGTAGTGGTCATTTTCAGCACCGAGGGTCTGCGTGACTACGAGAAACCTCTAGACGTATCCAGCGACGATCCTGTTCAGCTTACTCAGATATTGACGACGATCAACTCCTCAAATCCTGATCTATCTGAAGCCGCTGGAGCTGGAGAGACCGCGATCGCGAACTACGTCAATGCGTGGCTGCAGCACCGGGGTATGGAGGCGCATTGGGTCGAAGCCCAATCTGGGCGACCGTCTGTCGTGGGCGTTCTCCGTGGAACCGGAGGTGGGAAGAATTTGATGATCAACGGCCACATCGATACCGTCAGCCTTTCTACGTACACTTCAGGGGACCCGTTGAGCGGAGAGTTGAGAGATGACCGCATCTACGGCCGAGGTTGCTTGGACATGAAGGCTGGTGTTGCTGCAGGGATGGCAGCTATGGTGAGGATAGCAAACTCAGGCACCCGGCCAAGCGGCAATGTCATCCTTGCGGCCGTTGCGGACGAGGAGAATCTTTCAAAGGGTACCGAAGCTGTCCTGGAGGCTGGATGGAAGGCAGACGCAGCGCTTGTCACTGAGCCAACTCTACAAGACATCGTGACGAGTCATAAGGGTTTCGTCTGGTTCGAGATTGACGTACTGGGAGTTGCGGCGCACGGCTCCCTGCCAGAGGAGGGTGTAGATGCCATTCTCCTCGCTGGATATCTGCAGACTGCCCTGCTCGACTACGCCAAGAAGATGCCTTCAGATCCTCGTTTAGGGCAAGCCTCACTACACGGTGGGCGCATCGTTGGTGGCGAAGAGCCCTCCAGTTACCCAGCCATGTGCACTCTTACAGTCGAATTCCGCACAGTACCATCACAGTCGCCAGAGTCCATCATGGCGGATCTCGAAGACTTACTGAGCAAGCTTGCAAACAAAATCCCGAACTTTAAATACAGCAGCCCGCGCATCACTTTTTCACGCCCTCCATCCGGTCTGGCGGATGATAACTCATTCGTACAGTCGTTCATCGCGTCTGCGGCGAAGACGCTTGGCAACGCGCCATCGCCCACAGGCAGAGCGTTTTGGTGCGATGCTGGATTATTAAACCAAGCTGGTATACCTTCTATTGTTTATGGACCGAAGGGAGAGGGACTTCATGCTAAGGAAGAGTGGGTAAGTGCTTCGAGCATTCGCGAAGTGACCAACGTGCTGGAGACAACGATCCGGGATTTCTGCGCATGAGTCCGCTGTGCGTGTTAAAGCAAGGCAATAAATAAAATTTCTACATGAAATACAAGCAATTTAAGCGACCATCACTAAGCAAGCGCCTACAGATTCGATGTAACACCAGGCTTGATAACTTCCAGCTTATTCGACAGCTCCGCCCAGACTCGGTTCTGCGTCTTGTATCCCACTGCACTCGTCACAAGGGGAGCTACAGGAGCGACTTCACAATTAGACATGTATTGCCCATGGCTCTCCGCACCTTGACTCGCAGCATGGACAAGTGTCCGACTACCTTCCTCCGTGGTACGTGCGAAAATGGGCTGGATGAGTGTTTGTGCGAGTTTTACTGCAAACCCGGAGTTTCTAGCAATTGCACTATATGACTTTAGCAAAGTTCGTACTTGATATTGTGGGATGTTGCACTTACGACTTGCAGTATCCAGGATTGACACAGTTAATGGTGATCGGAATTTGAGAAGCAGACTTCTGATCTGCCATAGCTCGGATTACGAGGACTTCCATCATTTTCGAAACGAAGTAACGCTCCTGCATGTCGTTTGTCGGCTCGTTCAACTTGGCGAAGATCTGACCCTCAGGGACGTCCTTCTCTTTGAATTGCGTGGCAAAATGCACCTCTGACGCAGTGATTGTGAGGTTCGGCCTTGTGTTGAACTTGACTGATGTAGCCTTCAGCTTCGGCAACAATGCGAATGCAAGCAAGAATGTGCTCACAACGTTGACGGTGATGGTGGACTCGTCCTTCTCGAAGATCTCGAATTTGCCAGCCGAGATGCCTGCATTGAGCAGCGCAATGTCGAGCCTTTCAAGTTCCTTCTCCGCGCGTGTGACGAAATCGAGGACAGATTGGTAGGATGACATGTCCAGTTGCCAGACTTCAACGACATTCTTGACGCCCGTTGTCTTCTCGATGTCTCTCTTTGCTTCTTCTCCCTTGTTGATTGATCGAACAGCCAAGATTACTTTGGCAGCACTCAGACGTGTGAAGTGACGTGCAGCCTCCAATCCAAGACCGATATTGGAGCCGGTCACAATGACTGTTTTTCCGGCATACGAGTCGGTAGGCTTGGGGACTGAAGTGAAAAGCTGTGAGAACAGGATGCCGATGATAGAAGAAGGCATTATGCGAAGTTTGTTGGGAGTTGTGTATTGAAATTGGCTCTTGTAGCGAGATGTGTGCAGGAAGGTGTATGCAGTTGTTTTGGAGGATGGCTCTCAGCATCTAAATAGCTCTTGTTCTTTATACTCAACGTTCGAGCCGCTACTTTCAACGATAGAGAGACCGTATATGGAGTTCGACTCGTCTGTGCACGCTGTTAAAGATTAACGCCGAAGCATTCTTGTATGCGCAAGCTACGCAGCACTGATTTTGGACCAGGTGCACAAATCTTGAAGACGCATCACAGATCCGGACGAGCTTGAACGGCGTTTCAGTCGAATTGCACTCATTTCCCAGAGCACCAACCAGCACATAACGGGTCTTGAGTCCGCTGGCCGGCGGGTAATGGAATCGTCACGGACGGCGCCCATATCGGGCCGTCTACGGAATGGTCTCGTACACGTGGCAGCTCGCTCCGCATGTTTCGGCCGCTTTACGAAAAACACCAAACTTATACGCAAACCCTACATGGCAGACTCACGCATAGGGGACCAGACATGTATAGAGCCTCAATACGGCATTGGTGACAATCGCCACGCCATCGATGTATTACCGACTACAGTAAGCGATAACATCGTCTACATATTCTGGAATCCCCTCACAGCCATTGGATGCTTCATTTCACAAAGAATCCTCACGTATATTGCCAACATCAACTCCAGGATACACACCGCCACGGAACTTAGCCATATGTTCTCGCATCTTCTGAATCTGCCCGGGCGTCCAAGAGTTGCGACACTCGACATGAGTTTGCATGAGTGTTGCCGAAATCAATTTCATACGTACGGACGAAATCTAAGCCGGTTTGATTGAGGCAGGAATTGCTGTTGTTATGGTATCAATCGGTCCGTACAAGGCCTGGCTATACCTATAGCAAACTACCCTAGTCTAGTGTGTTATGAGTCAGGTATGTAGCCGTCTTCCCTTAGCTAGACAGCAACTCATCGCAGTATTCATCTTATTATACCATCGGCCCACGCTGCCACATCTGTTAAGACGTCAGTGCCACGATATTGTGCATAGAGATAAACAACTCCAAGGCGTACCTTACTACCTCGCATCCTCCCAGGCCAAGCGGCTGGTCTTCGATCGGAGTATCCGCAACCTATAACATTCGCTAGACAATCTGACACCTATACGGCAATAGACTTAAATAGTTGTAGCTTTGCTTACAACCGTTGGCGAAGGTATGGTACAGGCCGAACCACTAGGAAAACCACATCAGTACATGTTGCATCTGAGTCGCAGACGAGAAAGGTGTAGCGTTCTGCTCACATGTCCCACCTCATGCACGAGTGTGATGCCTTCCTTGAACACAGGATGGCTACCTCCAAGGAATACTGTACCGTTCTGGAAGACACCGTGGTAGGCTGCGCGGCCTTGTAGCTCATTGGGTACAGTAGCCCACGCTTGAGTCGTAGTATTGAGTCCTGTTCGCCAGCGGTCCGTTGCAGTGTTTGCCAGCGGTCCGCTGCACTGATTGTCCAGCTCATTCGGTTAGTTCAGTTTGGTTCCCCATCCCTTCACTGCTATTCCCTTTTAGTATAAAGTCCCGATCGATCCTCGTCATAGCTCACAGATAGACCAACCATCTCAACCCTTCCACAAGTCCTCTATGTCCTGAGATCAGTCTGATCATACCAAGTTGTACGATTTGCTTACCCCACGGTGTACATGTTCAGCGTGGCGTTGCCTCCCTTGCGAAGCGCCAGCGACACCTCGTTCTCAACGAGTGTCGCAACTTTGAGGTTATAGTACCTTTGTAACCACGTGGCTTAAGTCACATGGTATCCTATTGTAGGAAGTGGATTCGAATCTGTGAGATCTGGATTGACAGATTTTGAACTTGAAGGGTGTGACGGAGATTGAAACTTCGTGCCTTACCATGGCTGAGGTATAAATTTTTGATTTGCTTCAAGACATTATGGTTTACTTCCGTTATATTCAAATTGCAGTGCCGTACGCTTCGCCCGGTGGATCAGCCTCCCATCTCTCATTTCCGGTGTCTCGTCTCGTTACTGAGGCAGTCAGTGAAGCACCTCACCTGGGCTTTCAACGTGATGAGACGCTAAGTCGTCCTCAATCAAGACTTTAGCTTGACAGTGCTGCTGCAGCCCTCATTCACTGTCGTGAGACCCACTTCGTAGAAGAAACTATAAGGAGCTGTGTTGACAAGGTACATCGACCCTCCATATCTCCACATCTTTGTGATTGAGTCGCCAGGGCGATTACAGATAAGACCATTCGGCGTTGTCAATACATCGCGCTTGCACGTCAGATAGACATTAGGTGCTCCCCAGGCAGTACGAGCGATCACAGCAGACGTTGGACCAAACATGAGTCTGCCAGGAGTTGACGTGCCTGCTAAGTCCGCAGAGAGCCTTTGAGTCGTATCCCACGCAAAGACCAGGTTGTTGGCGGAGTCAATCGCGAACTTCGTACTGATGTCGGTGCCCGTTGTAAATATTACTCCCATGCTACAACCATAGATAGGGTTGGTGTTGCTGTAGATGAAGTAGTCTCCCATCATCGCTGTCCATCCGGAATATGCCCCGTTGTCTTTCCTAGTGAATCCTATCGAGAAGGTCGGGGTGCAAGTCTGTGTGCTCGAGGTTGCGGAAGACGTGCTCGATACGGCGCTCGAGCTCGAGCTCGAGCTGGTCGTGGAGGAAGATGGGCGGACTATCGTGGACGAGTACTCGTAGAAGAGAGCGTAATTGCAGATGAAATAGTGTTAGAAGACGAAGATGCGCTCATAGATGCAGACGTTCGTGGCGGTGTTGCAGACGACGTCGAGGACGAATCCGGTAGTGAAAGCGTGGACGACGACACCGTAGATGGGGTGGTGCTAGGCACCACTGAGAGAAACTGCGCAGCTTTGTTCAGGCGTCCAGTCCAGACGTACCTAACAGCGGAACCTTCATTGAGTGTGCTCTTCAGGTATCATGCTCTCCACACCCAGGAGACATCCAAGCAGCCAGGACTAGCGTCGCATGCATCCATACATGATTGGAAGGTCGTTGAGTCCAAGGACTGGAGATCATCCCCGGCATGGTCAATACCGCATCAACAGTGTACGTACCGCCATTCTTGGCAACGTAGGATCTGTCATTGTCTTTCGAATTGAGACATGTAAGCTCTTCGGTCTTCGTTGATTCGGTATTTGTATTGGGATTGGGCAGTCCACACATAATCGGCATCAGCAAGAGCGGAGGTAGTCTGCTTGAGATAGCAGGCTCCGTTGACATAGCTATCGGCAATGAGCTTTCCAGACTTTCATCACGATCAAGTGAAGACTTACGCTACATCGATGCACTGCGTGTTGGTGGCACATGCTTCGATACAGTCTTCGAAGGATGCTGTCCTTGTAGACATCAAATCGCCTCCACCGTATTCTTGTCCGCAGATGATTTTGAACTGGCCCCTTAAGCTTGGTAGGCCTTGCCGTTGTCTGCTTTGTTGAGGCAGCTCAAACTAGGTTTTGCGTTTTGCTTCTTAGCGCCCACACGTTAGCATTGGTTACCGCATTGGTGAGCTGGCTCTGAAGATAGCAGATATTGCTTGTGTACGAGAGGGTAACACATGAAGACTCGCCGTCGCAAGCGGCGATGCAGCCTCTGAGCTTTGCTGCTTGGAAGGAGCGCAGGTTGCCCCCAGGTAGTCAGGCCCGCAAGTCACGTCGTATGTGGATCCAGATGCGTAAGTGAATGTTGCGCCTTGGTCTTTTCCTGAGCAAGTAGGTTCGAAATCCCGTATGGACAAATTTCGGGGTATAGAAGCACCATTGACCAGAGTGTTGATGACCAGGGCGGAGGTCAGGAAGAGTTTGGAGACGATTATATCAAGCCGTATGAGAATTGAGTAACACTGAAAGAGAGGACGGAACCAGATGTTCCCAGATAGGTGGAATGCGACACCGCTATAAAGGACGTTCGTGGTGCAAGGTCCATGTAGAAGAGACCGCACAAGGCTGCAAGGCTCTATATGATGGAGGAGGCTGCGGATATCATCGATGGCATGCCGCAACCTTCAGGCCTACCGAAGTTCAGCTGGAAAACTATCTTCGGTGCGCGCGACAGTCAGCCACCCGCAATTGAAGGTGTCAAATTTAGAGCCAAGTCTCGCCTCACGAGAAGGTACAACCAGGCAAAGTGCATGGACAGTGCTGTTGGAGCAGATCTAGAAGCAGTCGCCGTGCGCAGGGACTATGCGAGTCAGTGACCGTAATCGTTAAGGAAGATGCGAGCGTGCAGGCGCAGACCGGGCGCAATCTTGGATTCACAGGTTATCCCGACAAGATATAAACCTAGGAAGATTTCCGGAAGCCTGAGTGCACAAGGCCGCACAAGTGCTCAGCCCGATGGAAGGGCGTGGTATCCGTAAGAGGCAGGGTGTTTGGTGACGGGTGGGGCTCGACGAGGCTGCTTTAGCGCCAGGGACTGGTTGGCGCTATCCCCGTGGCTGATCAACTACATCTCGTATGCTCATTACAAAAGCTTGTTTACATGTCAGGCGGTTAGACGAGGCTGTCGAGTAGCCTGTCGTACAGTGCGCCTGTATCTGAGTGGTGGAAATAGGCCTGACACAGCTACACACCGCAGCTTGCATTATGGCCAACCCATCCTTGACATCGCATTCCAGTCAACGTTCCCCCAGTCCATCTCAAATAGATCAGTGTTCAGCTCTGCGAGACTCGGGTCCAAGTAATTGACTGAGTCCTGACCAATTGAGGGAAACACCTGGACTTCACTCGGTGGAAGCATCGACATCCCTCCTTGCACGGGAGGCACAGCATCGTCCGCAGTCGCGATGGGAGGCGAAGGCTGCCCCAGCTTCTTCTTGATATCGACAATCATTCTCCTTGCACTTTCTGCACCATCCTGACCAAACAGTGCGGCGTGTCTCGCCGCCCAAGCTTGCAAGACAGTAGACGCAAACATCTTGAATAGAATGTTGGCACTCGGCTCCATATCCACAAAACGCACCGTGTAATTCGCATTCATGATTTCCCACGCCTTGTCCGCATGTGCGCCGACCGGACGTGAGCGTAGATCTTGCACAATGCGCACGTATGCGGGGAAGGGGAAGTGAAACTGAATGAGCCAATGGTAGCCTTTAGTGAGAGGTGACGACATGAGCGCAGTGTCGCATTCGAGCATGCGAAACGCATACGAGAGGATCGCGTCACGCTGCACGGTGCTTTGGTGATCAGGCGATCGAGAGTGCTGCGAGCAGTGGAGGAAAAAGCGGTATTTGGCAAGGTGATTGCGAGCCCACCAAATCGTCATGTAGTGCAATGGGTTCTCGAGATTGCAGTACTTGAGGTGTCGGTTCTCGATGATGTTTTCGAGCCCATTCAGATCGTCATCATATGGGTCGAAGACGTGTTGAGTTGCTTTGGCGACGTGTTTGAGCATTGGATTGATGAAGTCGAGATGTAAGGCGTTGTGTCTGACATAGTTCCCTATTGCACCACGCACAATGGCGAAGAGTGCCTCGGTGGACGCTTCTTGATCTGTCGGGCGTGTAGTCATCTCCGGTCTCAGATCGAAGTCGTTGACATTCACAGGAATCTTGCAGTCCCAGGTCGGGATGAGCTGAGTGGTTTTGTAGTCGGTCATCTCGGATATGCGACTATCGTATGCGACCATCGCCCACCACAGTCGACGGCGCATCTCCGCTTCGAATACTCCATGTTTGACGTTAGAAGCCTCGTTTGCGATGTTCATGCGGTAAGCAATCCGGAAAGCGATGGCGAACATCGGCGATAGTGTGTGGGGATGGGTGTCTGGCCTGAGCGAGACCTAAGGTAGTCAGTAGTGTGCTCAACAGTGCTTTTGGACGACCCACCAAGTAGAGGAAGAATGCTGTCAAGCAGTCACGCTCTCTAGACCGCAGAAATCCACAGTTAATAAGAGCCTGATGACAAGCATTCTGGTACTTTCTGAGCAGCTTCGGTTTTGAATCTCCGAGCATAGCATGGCAATCATCCTCACTAAGAGTGATGATAGTAGCGCAGTATATACTGAACATCAGTGCTTCCAGTTCACGACTGATGCCCGCAACATCGACAGCAGCATCGAGGATGCGCGCTTGAAGGGTTGGCGCATGCGTAACCTTGAGCAGCGGGTTGATGTTGTCCGAATAGATCTGCCAAAGCCTGAAGATCTGTACATGGCTAGGATGTAATGTTGACAAAGGGACATCGATCTTAGAGTCTCCAAACAGGTGATTGTGGTCGCTATCGTACACACGGCCCCAGACTTTGATAATGACCGGCTCTGAAAGATCATCGAACGTAGGATTGCCGAAGTTGTTGTCGACATTTGCTTCCTCAGTGACATCATGAGAATCAGGAGGCCTTTGATGCATCGCATCCCAGAAGTTCTTGACCTCGCCCAACGTTTGGTATTCGCTCTTGACAACCTCAGCTCCTGCTGGTTGCCCATCAGGAACTTGTGCTACACCATCTAAATGCGTCTGACCTGTGGACCTCAACCCTTGGCCCTCGACGTCTGCAGAGGTTCCCTCGACGTCCATATCGTCAGTGGTTTCGACCGCAATGTTGTTCCTCCTTAGCAGTTCCTCATACTGCCTCAGTCTCTCCGTGAGTGCTTGTTCAGTAGGCCTCTTTCTCCGTCTCGGCATCTGCTGGGCGGGTACACATTGTACCCTTGCCTTCACACAATGGTTGCAGGGAAATTTACGATCGCACTTGACTTTGCGCTGTTGGCAAAGCACGCACGCGAGGATACGCTGCGGCTTAGGTGGGCGATAAGCAGAGCCTGAGGGGGTGGTCGGTCGTGACGCCATGATGAGGATAGTCTCAACGCGAACCAGAAAGGTCAAAAGTGTAAGGACCGAAATGTCGGGGATATCCAAACATCTTATTGATGATGAAGTCGCGATGAAGAGTGCGCCTTTTCGGGTTCAACGTGTCAGATGTCCGCATTCTCGGGTGTTAGAATTCCCCGTTAGCGTTGTTCGGACTCAACAAGCGTTGTTCGGCCTCACAGCCAATCACAGATCATCATCCCTACCTATCTCCGACTCCGTGTAGAGAGGCAGCAATTGTCGGAGCCGAAAAGACAATGTATAAAGAAAATGCCTTGGACACACAAGATGAACAGAAGCAAGCACAAGCGCCTCGAAGACCCCACCAAAAATCTTACTCAAAGCGTCATTCGCAATGTCTTCTACCAGAGCAATCGACGAGGCACCCACCAAGCCGGACGATCAATCCCTCGAACATAAGGACGTCAATGACAGCAACTTCAACCCACGATCTCTTAAGTTCATAACCGTAATGATCGGCATGTACATGTCCATCTTCCTCGTCGCATTGGTACACCTCCCTCCCTTTACTCCCCCATCAGATCCCCATCAGGACCCCAGCTAACGCTATCCCAGGACCGCACCATAATCGCCGTAGCCATCCCCGCCATGACCAATGACTTCCACTCCATCAGCGACATTGGCTGGTACGGATCAGCCTACCTGCTAACCGGCGCCTGCTTCAACCCGATCTTCGGCCGCATCTACGCCCTGTACTCGACAAAATGGTGTTTTCTGACTTCCATACTCATCTTCGAGATCGGCTCCGCTGTCTGTGGCGCCGCGCCATCCTCGGTGGCGTTTATTGTAGGCCGCGCGGTGTCTGGCATCGGCTCGGCGGGCATCTTCCAGGGCGGTATGATGGTCATCGTGGGTATGGTGCCGTTGAGTAAAAGGCCGATATATACGGCGGTGCTTGGGATGGCGTTTGGTGTGTGTGCGGTTTTGGGACCGATTGTTGGGGGCTCCTTCACAGACTATGCGTGAGTCTTCCCATTCCTACGCGAACCCAATCACTGACAAGTGCAGTACCTGGCGGTGGTGTTTCTACATCAACCTCCCCATCGGCGCCATCACACTACTCATCATCTTTCTCTTTTTCCACCTAGACGCGCCGCAGCGTGAGAGCCTCACTATCCTGCAACAAATCCAGCGTCTCGACCCCGTAGGCATTTTCTTCTTCGTTCCCTCCATTGTATGTCTAATCCTCGCGCTACAATGGGGTGGAACAACGTACGCTTGGTCCGACCCAAAGATCATCGGGCTCCTAGTCACTTTCGCTGTTCTCCTCATCATCTTCAGCATCGTTGAGACATTCATGCCAGAGACGGCCATGGCGCCTGCGCGCGTCGTGCTCAACCGCTCAGTCGCGGGGAGCATGATCTTCACATTCCTCAACTACGGGTCTGTCATGGCCATCGCATACTACCTGGCCATATGGTTCCAAGTTGCAAAGGGTCTCAGCGCGACGCATGCCGGCATCAATACGATCCCGATGGTTATAGCAATGGTTGTAGCGAGTGTTCTGTCCGCCAAGGTGACGCAGAGACTCGGATACTGCAACCCCGGCATGATCGTGTGCTCGATTCTCAGCGCTATCGGAGCGGGGTTGTTGAGCACGATGACAAGGTCCTCGGATCACAGCTACTGGATCGGATACCAAGTCCTGTTCGGGTTGGGGCTGGGGTGTGGTGGACAGCAGGCCAGTCTTGTCGTGCAGGGCGTGTTGCCGAAGAAAGATGTGCCGTTGGGTCTGGCGCTAGGCTTTCTTATGCAGCAGCTCGGTGGTGCTGTGTTCTTGTCGGTCTGCCAGAATGTTTTTGCGACGAAGTTGGTGCATCGTCTGTCTGGTGTTGCTGGGTTGGATGCGCAGCAGATTGTGGACACGGGAGCGACTGATATTCGGAACGTCGTACCGGCCGACGAGATCGATGCAGTCGTCGAAGCGTACAACCTTGGCGTTACACGGGTCTTTCTTGTGGCTGCTATTCTCAGCGCGTGTACGATTGTGGGTGTTGCCATGATGCAGTGGAAGAGCATCAAAGGTGTAAAAGATGCGAAGACGAGTGAGGGCGCAGAGGATACGGAGGGCACAGAGAAGGTCTAAATTCTCAAGTCAGTGAACAATGACGGCTCGAATCTGAACCTGGAGGATTGAACGTAGACAGATTATAGATAATGATGATCTCAGCTTTACTTTTTTATTGTATCCATCTTCCTCTTTTGCAACCTATCTGTCGGCAAAGTGCCCGTGAAGTCTGCAAATATTTCCAGCCTTCCTCATGCCTCGAGACTATAGGCTTCCTTGATGACATCGGCCGCCTTCTCCGCGACAATTTACACAGGCGCCATGGCATGACACTCCGAAATCTCAAGGAACACACTCGCATCGATAATCCTCAATCCTCTCGTCTCCTTGACCCTCAGGCCTGGATCCACAGCTTCCCAATCCGCACCATATGGCGCCATCCTCGCGGTTCCAACACTGGTTAATAGTCACACCATGCTGCCTCACGTACTCCAGGAGTTTCGTGTCCGAGGTGAGGTTTGCGAGAGGACCGTATGGCGCACCGATGTAGCCAGAGAGAGAGGGATTGCTGAGTACGGTGAAGGCATCGCGCATTGCTTGTACATCGGTGTATTGCTCGAAGTCGGTGGTTAGGTAGTTCGGGCCGATGACGGGAGGCAGATATACTGAGTATGGAAAGAGTCGAAAAGGGACCCATGCCAGATTGCAACAAGATCTTGGGTGTTCCAACTACGCCGGCGGATAGAACGATCTCTTTGCGGGCGGTAACACCGAAACGTTCTGTTGAAGACGGCTGTCCAAGCTCGGCAATGATAAATCCAGGGCAGTTTTGTGCATTGCTAGTGTCTAGCAGTCTCGTGACTTGAGTGTTGAGCAGAACATCCAGATTGTCTCCACAAAAGCTGAGATCGTCCTGGTAGTCATCGATTAACCGATGTAGATACGCCGTAGCTGCGTTACTTCTTTTTCAACCTGCAATCAATCCCTGCGATCGCGAGAGGTTTACAAAATCCCCAGCATTAAGATCCCGGTTGAATGCATATCTCCCTTCCATCTCTTTGCTGGTTTCGCTGACTTGGTAATCCAGCGGATATGGTTTGCCGAATACGCTGACCTCGACCGGGCCAGTTCCGCGTGCAGGCTGGATGACTTCGTCCGTGAAGTTTCGCCTATCAGCAGGTGCTACAAGGCGTGAGTTCCTTAGGTAGTACGGTTTTAGTGCTGACTAGGACCATCCTGCGTCGCCATTAATGTTTGCCCAGCGATCGTAGACGTCATTTGAGACGCGGTTGTAAGCCATGTAGTTGACTGAACTACTACCGCCGAGCACATGGCCGCGCTGGAAGTTGATGGATCGACTGTTGTAGCTGAATTGCGGTGTCGTGGTGTAGTTTCAGTCTGCACCAATATGGTGCAACTCTGCAGTGAGGAAAGGTACTTCAGCATCAAGGTAGTCGCCATCGATGCTCCCCGCTTCGACCACCAAAACCGTGATATATGGGTATTCCCACAATCGTGCTGCTACAACAAGCCCGGCTGTACCGCCGCCTACTACAATGAAGTCATACTCGGTCGTGATGAGTCCTTTGTGTGAGGTAAGAGTCTTGACCGCAGAGCTCGTCCGGACAAAGCTCACAAGTGATGCGATGGTAAGGAGGCGCGTTAGCATCGTGGATTCAAAAACAGAGTAAAGTTCTTGGATGTCTTGGGTTTTCATTCATGTTGGCAGGGCTTCTCTATCGAAGAACTCCAGCCAAAGCAAAGACGGACCAGTGAACCATCCAGTTGGCTCGAACGGATCGCTATTCGGGATCCCACAAAGGAGCAAGCGGATCATCTCGCGGGTGTTGTGCTCAACAGATCAGTTTTAGGTTCGTGGCGTAATTGTCTGATTCGATGTAGGTTGTTGATGTTGTTGGCTAACCTCATGCGCGGTGCTGACGCGACAGAACTAGCTGCGGTACTAAGGTCGGAAGATTACGTCAGCACTGATTCAGCAACCTCCTGCTGTGTGCTCTGAAGGAAGTTGGCAGGCATGTCTGCTAACTATTGCTGCGACTTCAGTCTCGGTTCCGGCTAGGGCTCCATCTCTTGAACACAACTTCCCGGACGGTGTAGCTCTTCAGTACCTTCCCAATATCGATTCCGAAAGCATCTTGCTTTGTCTCTCCATCCCACGGCGGTGGTACCTCAACATATACCAGCACCAATGTCTTCATAACAGCTGTCTGTACCCTGTTCACCCTGTGGAACCACCACCAGTCCTTGCTCTCCTTCCCTTTGCGATACTCAATACGCTCTGGCGTCTCGGACCAGTAAGGATGCGAGTACGACGGAATGATCTGCACACCAAATTCGGCGTGGTGGAACGCAGGTCCGCGGAGGTAGAGTAGGTAGTCGACGGCGAACTTGATGCCAGGGCGAACAACCCAGCCTAGGGAGCGGAAGTGGTGGTAGACGACGTACTTGAGGAGGAAGGAGTTGTCCGGGGCTATCTGTTGTGTGCTCGGTAGGGCGGCGGTTTTTTTAGCGAGGCGCTCACGGTACTGGAAGGCTTTCTTCAAGCCAATGATGGCGGCGTCGTCGATGGGAGACAAGGCATAGGCGCTGTAAAGCCGGACGAGGTACCACGCAGGAAGTGCTGTGTTACCGTCAACGAAGTTACCTTCGATGATGTCAAGGGCGCCAAGAACGTATGTGAGGTAGAATGCCTCTTCCGGCGTGAGTTGCAAGTGCTCGATGTCCTTGATCTCTTCTGCGTCTGCAGCTCCGTCTTCGCCCCATGTGGGAGCTTTCTCTGCGATGCTCTTGTCAACCTCTGAGACGATAGAATCACCAGTGGGACCCACGACGTCGCCAGCTTCAGGAGTGTAGATTGTCCCTCTCGGCGACTCGGCCACGATGCCATCCTCGACTAGATCATTGACGGTACCATCGGCGTCCAGCTTGCCTTCCTGGCGCAGCTGCTGTTCGATTGCTTCTCGCTGCGCTTTCGCACGCTCAAGCTTGAACTGCCTGCGCTCTTCTCTTCGTGCCTGCGTGATCTGTGTGCTCGCCGTTGAGGCTTCGATGCCGCGTCTTCGCCTTTCGGCCAGTAACCATTGCGGCTCACTGCGGCTGAGCGACCCCTTGCCCCAGAATCCCTGCTCCCAAAGCGCGCGGATAGACTCAGGATCTGTGACATGAATAGACTGGGTGTCTTCAGAGTAGTAGGCCTTATGAACGATCTTATGCGAGTTGGGTGTGCGCAACGAATGTGAAAGAAGGGTGATGGCAATCCTCACGATAGATAAGGGATTATGTGGGATGAAGGCTGGCAATGGATGAACATCAAGCGGAAGTGGCTTGACGTGAATTTCATTGTAGTTTGGTCGCTTTTGGCGAGGCTTCCTAGGACCGCTATTTGCACTCTTTTGGCCATTGGGCACAGCAGCATCAATCTTAGGTGGCTCAGATTGAGTCGAAGCTGGCCCTGATGCCACGGTCTCTGTTGCCATGCTGGTTTGAGCGTGTAGCTACAAGGATCTGTTTGAAGTCAGATGTTGATCCGAACATGTTTGAGCAAAGCATGCGCGAATTTTGATAGATCAGATACCGTTGTAGTCTATTTTGTAACGGAAGACAGCATAGAGCACATGCGCTAGCAAGTGAATGTTCACGCTGTGCCGCTGATATGATTTGAAGTTGTCATCATGGAAGGGAGAGATGAGATGCGAAAGAGAACTGACTTACGGTTCAATGAAGCCTCGCGCCGGCGGTGTGCTGGCGTTGTTGCGAGGCAGTTGAAGGTTGTGAAGTTTTCGCGAGGCAGAAAGCTCTTGAGAGTCATAGCTTTCGGAGGTGGTCGGCCCGCGACATTGCTAGTTGCTGATTGGTCAGCCACAACACCTTGCAGCATCGACTCGACAACCGTTGCGGCCATGGTAGCTGAATGATCAATTATCAGCATATACAGCTTCTTGTATAATTCTCTAGGCCTGGTCTGATGCTTATGGACGAATAAGAGATAAGGATTTGGTGACGTAATCTCGAGCAGCTCTAACGAGAGCTCTTCAAATGACATGGAACTTCTTCATCAAACCTCCGCGCCACGCCGCAGCAGGGAGCGATACATCACGTCTACGGAGACATCTCTGTCTGATCGATAATCAAAGAATCGCACGAGCTATATTATACGAATAAATCGAGCTTGTAATTCACTGCGCAATGCTCCCAGCAGCACGATGGTCGTTGCGGCTGCCATGCCAGCACTTCCGAGCATTCGCAACGCGTGGCACACCTCATCCACGAGGTCCTCGCGGTCGCCTACCTGGTCATGTACCACCTCAGAGAAGAGAGCCTGCGAGACCATCAGGACAGCATGGCAGCGAACAGCCAGCGAACCAGCACAATGAGCCATCCAAAGATGCAGCAAACACAGGCGCGACCGAACCATCGAGAGTCGAAGCAGTATCCAATGCTCTCGCCACCACGCCCGACTCGCAAAACCCCCTCCTCACACCAGTCCACGTGCCCGAAGACCCGCACGCAGTTCTCAAACAAACACATCCGGCGATGCGCCTCCTCGACAATTCGGCCATCGTCATCCAGCGGCAGCTCGAGATGATGAACGTGCTGATGGGCTTCGAGCAAGCGAACCGCTACGTAATCATGGACCCGCACGGCAACCATATTGGCTACCTCGCTGAGCGCGACCACGGCTTCGGCAGCGCTATGGCACGGCAGATGTTCAAGACACACCGAAGCTTCACAACACACGTCTTCGATCGGGAGGAGAAGGAAGTGCTGCGGTTTCACAGGCCGTTCAGCTGGATCAACTCGCGCATACGGGTCTACGACGCAGTGGGACAGCACGGCGGCGCATACACAAGCTCCACGCAATTGCAGGGCACTAGCGCGGCCAGCATCGTGAAGCAGACGAGTGCGAATGTGTCGAGCATGGATCTGGGTGATATGCGCATCATCGGTGCCACAGAGCAGGAGTGGGCGCCGCTAAGACGGAAGTACAACATGTTCCTCGCCCGCAACCTCGCAGACGCCGCACCTGGCACTCCCCAGATCGCCCCGGGCAACCTCGCCTTATCCGATAGCAAGGCTATGACCGTCGCAGAAGGCGATAACAGGGAAGTCGGCATGCTCCAATTCGCGCGTGTAGACGAGCGCTTCCTCTCCTGGGACTTCAGTCTCATGTCTGAAGACGGCCGCCTACTGGGATCCGTGAACCGCAACTTCGGTGGGTTTGCGCGCGAGATCTTTACAGACACGGGTGTGTACGCATTACGAATGGACGCCGCAGCGCTCGCACAGGAGCCTTTGCATCTTGTGAGCCAGACTAGGCAAGTAGAGGCTGGGCCGGGCATGACCCTCGATCAGCGTGCTGTCATGCTTGCGACGGCTGTGAGTATTGACTTTGATTACTTCAGTCGGCATAGTGGCTCAGGCGGTATGATGTGGCCGATGTGGGTGCCCTGGTTTGGCGGTGGTGGGGAGGCTGCTGGTGGTGCTGCAGCGGGCGGTGCAGCAGCAGGTGAGGCCAGTGCCGCTGGCGCTGGAACTGCAGTTGGAGCAGCTGGCGAGTCTGGAGTCTTGGGTGAAGCTGCTGCCGGTGCTCGAGGCCTCGGTGCTGCTGAGGGCGCGGCGACTGGCGCTGCGACGATGGCTGGATACGAAGCTATGCAGAGAGGAAGGGGGTCACAACAAACTGACGACATGTCACCGCAAGCGAATGATCCGCACCAGCCGCCAGTGGATCGTCAGCAAGGTGTTCAAGGAGAAGAGGACATCTGGGGACAGAGCGGCGATCCTTGGGCAGATCAACGAGGACAGGACCAGGAGCAAGGCTTTTGGGGTGGTGAAAACCAAGGTGGTGATGGTGGAGGCGGCGACTCGGACTGGGGTGACTGGTTCTGATCCACCAAAACTGTAACTACCGTATCATCATTGTTTCCATAGCATAGCATAGATACCATCCTGCCTCACGCGGTTGTTCTCAACCAAGCTTTCTTTAGCGAAGCCGCATCACCAGCCACGGCACGACACAAATTTCCCCGGATCTTGCGGCTAAAGACATTTCGATCAAACGTCCGGAGTACCCCGCATGCAACGGTCCAACGGCGACCAATGCCGCCATCGTAAAACACCCCGAAGTCAGGTCCTCGGTCGCAATTCTTCCGCCGCGCAATCTCAATCTCATCCGCGGACAAGATCGACAGCAACCATATATACATGGAAGGAACCGTCAACATGGTCTCCGGTCGAGCTTCGGCACGTCGCCCAGTTCCACTCCATTCACCATGAGATTCAAAACTCTCGCCTGCGCCGCGCTCGCCGCAACCACCTTCGCCGCCCCTACATCCGAACCCAAGAAAGCAAAGTTCAGCTGGAATAAAACAAAATCCCTAATCGCCTTCGGCGACTCCTACACCTTCGTCCAAGGCCTCCTCGGCCATCCCAATTACACCTACATCGGCGACAATTTCTCCCTCTCCTTCACACCCCAGCAACTCTTCAGCAACCGCATCGTGCAGAACCAGACATCCACTGCCTCCGGCGGACCAGTCTGGACCGAATTCATCACAAACTGCGGCGTTAAGCCGGGGCATACCGACCCGAGGAAGTGTGAGAAACAGCTCTGGGATTTCGCGTACGCGGGGAGTAATACTGATGAGGTGTTGACGCCGCTGCACTGGAATCACACGGTTAGTCTTGAGAAGCAGATCGAGCAGTTCGAAAAGTACGGAGATGTCGCGCTGCAGAAGATACTGAAGAGGAAGGAAGCATTGGTGGCGCTCTGGATCGGGATCAACGACATCAACGACCTCGCCAAGTTGAGAGACAAGAACGCAAGCTTTGCGTCGTTGTACGAGCAGGTCGTTACAAGTCAGGAGCGGCTTTGGGAGAGGGTGTATAAGCTGGGGTATAGGAATTTGTTGTTGTTGAACCTGCCGCCTCTGGACCGTGGCCCAAGCCCCAGCGTGAACAAGACCCTCGTCAGCACCTATAATGGCATCCTCGCGTCCCATGCGACCGCTTTTCAAAAGAATCACACGGATGCGACGGTGTTGCAGTTCGACGTCAACACCGTCCTCAACCAGGTGTTTGACGATGCTGCAGATCACGGATTCACCAACACTACCAATTTCTGCCCTGGATACAACCAGCCAGATATCCTTACAAACCCGGAGAAGTACGGTTGCGGGAAAGGTCTGGATACATATCTGTGGTATAACTCGGGACATTTGACTAGTCGGGTGCATGAAGTGTTTAGTAAAGTATTGGCGAGGTGGTTGGGTGAGCAGGGGCGCTGATGAATGAAGATGTATAGGGCTGGGTCGCTATGAGTTGGTGCGAACGAAGTCAAACTGAGCGCCTGATTATGAACATGCATCATTAGGCCACATTATATGTCGTAGGCGCGTCAAAATCATAATGGCTACGGTTGTACAATTCTTCGTGTTTCAGCAAAATGAGAAGACTACCTGCAAAATCTCCCTGAACAAGATTCTCCCTGGGCTAAAACTTCTACGGAATCAGTGGCCATGTTGTTCCGTTTGTTTTGCGTCACGACGTCCAGTGTCTTGGTAATGGGCCCACTAATGCATGTTCTTGATTTAGGTGCTCGACTGCTACCCAGTAAGTGCGACGGTCTTCATCCGGATATATGGTTCAACACCCTGCAACGCGGAACTTAGATGGACACGACTGAGGGACCGTTGGCTGGAGGTGCAGCCACAGGCTTGACAGGTGTGCGAAGGTTAAGCGCCACTATCTGTTCGTCGAAACTGCTCACGAAGTCGGAGACATGTCACTGATGGAGGAAGTTCCAGTCAATATATGAGCCGTCGCCTGACCTGTTCCTAGAATGGAGTATAGCGCAAGCCTCTTTTCTCATCATTCCACGGTCGTCTGCATCAGTATTGTTGCCGATGAAGGTAGGTAACTCAGTGAGCGCTCTCTGCAAGGCGTCCTTGACGTATGCCTGACAAATGGAACTATGCACAGCCTTACACTGAACGGTAAACTACTTCCTTGCCCTTTGCAGAAGTGCCCACAGCGCTCGATTGGCGAAGGGGTCGCACTAGATTGTGAGCGGCCAATTCAACGTATGATTATAGAGCAAGGCTCTCACTTGAGAGATATCTTCGGTCTGCCGAGCTCGGACTTCCACCATCCTAAATGCCTTCTCAAGGATGGAGACGGCGGCGTAGATGGTTTCGCGCGGTAAGATCTTGAAGTGCACCTCGCCGTACGCAAGCGCCATCTTTAAGGTTGTTGCCAGTTGGAAACTTGGAGGTTGTCAGTGTTCAAGACAAGAAACCGGACACGACATAGGTGGCGCGTAAGAATGAGCTATAGTGTGCTAATGGAGTACAAGCGCCCTAGCCTGATGCGGGTGGTGACCAAACGGTCTTGAGTGGCAGAATATTTGACTCCCACTTCATCGAAGAAATTGTGGAAACAGGAGCAACGGCTGATAGATCTATTAGTCTAGTATGGGAGATGCAACAGAAAAGTCTAAGGTATACAGTATGCTTTTTGCTATGCATACATGATATTAAGAGACATGAGTGATTAGACAGTGGCAGCGAGCACCACTGATGACAAGCTGCCAGTGCGATGGAGGAAACGAGTTGCAGAGGCGATCAAGTAGCTTACTCGGCCTTCTTACTAGCCTTAGTCCTAAGCTTCATGAGCAGGTAGACCAACGCGTAACTCGAAAACGCGAACAGAACACAGATCGCTGCATCCCTCCAGCCGTAGTAGTACTCATTCAGGTTGACAGTGTACAGGTAGTCGTTACCACGGCGGTACTGGCAGACCCTGCAGTCAGTCGTCGCATCACCGTTGACCAGGTTGTTCCGAGCGCCGGGACCTGCAAGCCATGCCTCAAGGTACTGAGCGCACGTCTGGCCAGAAGGAGGATCGAAAATAGCGAACTCGGACTCGTTGCAGTTAACCTCCCAGTCGAAATCGGCGAATACAAGGAGTGCACCCATGAGGTAGTTGAAGGGGTTGAGGTAGTATAGCCAGTAGCGCCAGAAAGGTTGGATCTGGGCGTAAGGAACGAGGACACCGCAGAAGGAGACGAGGACACCGATAATGAGGGGGTTGACGAGGGAGGCGAAGACGGCGTTGGGTGCGTATGCAGCGACGAACTGGCCGAGCCCAGTGTAGAAGAACCTGGTGTGAAGTCAGTATTGATGTGGACTTGTTCTGGAAAAGAGGTGACTTACTGGTAGACTAGCATGACGAAGAACACCGCACCTGCCTTGTCGGACGAGACAGGGAGACCAGCGGTGTAGTAGAAGCAAACGAAGTAAAGGATGCCACAGATTATGAGATAGGGCATCTCAGAGATGATGAGACCGGTAGTGAAAGGAGCCCAGTGGTACATCTTTGACTTCTTCTCTCTTGTCTCGTAGATGTCACGACGGTCGATGAACAGAGGCTGAAGTTGCGCAATGACACCAGGAGCGACGAAGATGTAGTTAAACAGGGAAAATAAAATCAGTTGTTGCTCTTGTACGGAGTCTCCGATCTGCCAGAAGGAGAAACCGACGAAGAGAGCGACACCGATGTGGAGGGCAAACTTGTTATTGACGTAGTCGATGTTGCGGTACAAACTGACGTTCATGCGATGAGTGACCAACTTAGTTTGGGTCCACACATCGGTGGCGAACTCGTGTCCATCGTCGGTGGTGCCAGGCTCCTTGCCCGCAGCGTCTGTGATGATGTGCTCAAGATCTTGTTGCATCTGAGCCTGTTCCGGTGAGTCGAGCCAGACCTGGTGCCAGTCCTTCTCACTTGAGTGAGCGCCGGTGACGACATCGATCATGAACTCTGCAGGGTTGGCACCCTGAGGGCATGGTACGCCGTTGCGGTTGAAGTAGTCCTTGATAGTATTGCCGTTGTCGCCGATGTCGCCAAAGTAGACCGTCTTGCCCCCCTTGGCGAGCAGCAACAATGTGTCGAATTGCGCGAAAAGTTGGGCAGAAGGCTGATGAATAGTGACCAAAACTGCTTGGCCAACATCTGCAAGCTTCCTAAGGAACCGGACAGTGTTGAAGGCAGCTTGACCGTCTAGACCAGAGGTGGGCTCGTCCAAGAAGATCAAGATGGACGGCTTAGAAACAAGTTCAACACCAATAGTGACACGCTTGCGCTGTTCAACAGACAAACCAGCGCCAACTCGTCCAATAAGGGTGTGTTCAAGATCATGCAGTTCGAGAAGGTCAATGATAGTGTCCACGTAGGCAAGCTTGTCCTCACGAGAGGTCTCGCGGCTCTGACGAAGAAGGGCGGAAAATTCAAGGGCTTCGCGGACCGTGCAGTAGGGCTCGTGGACATCGAGCTGCTCACAGTAACCTGCAGAACGCTGGAAAGAGACAGGTAGTGGACGACCATCGACTAGTACCTCGCCGTGAATCTGACCGTCCGTTTTGCGTTGAGCAAGAACGTCAAGTAGAGTTGTCTTTCCAGCACCAGATGAGCCCATGAGGGCACCAAGCATGCCAGGACGAACGTATCCGTTCACTTTGTCGAGGAGAGTGCGTGGTCCAGAGGGAGTTTGAACGACATACGACAAATTGCGCCAGGTGAAGACTGAAGTGTTGCGCATCAGATCACCTCCAGCTTGGTCGCTCGAGGTGTTGTTGCTGTCGTTGGCTCGGGCACGGGGAGCCTTCTCATTAGCCTGCGCTTCCTCGTCGCCAGGTACAACAGCTTGAGGAACCTTCTTTGCGTTCTCACGAGGAATCAGAAGCGCGCCAGTAGAACCAGCAGCATCATCCCAACGAAGGGTGAAGAATATAGTCAGACCGACGAAGAGGACCCACCACGCGAAAAGAATACCGACATTGCGCCAGACGTGTAATGGCGAGTAGGACAAGCTTCGGAGGTATTCCTCGCCAGTTAGGGACACGGCACCAGGAGCAGCACCCGCAATACCAGCGCAAGACTGGTGAGCAGGGTCCTCGTACTGTGGTAGATAGTTAGGAACGAGATTGTTGTAAACACAAGGGATGGTAGTTCCCTCAAACTCGTTTGCCATCAATGACTCGAAACCGTAGGACAGAGGGTTGATCCAGTAAATCCACACAAACCAAGGGTGCATCTGCGGCTTGGGGATCTGATACCCAATGTACAAGATGAGGGCAGTGACAGAGAAACCAGAGACCTTGGATGCGGCGTCGAAGTTGGGAAATCCAGCACCGATCATACGGAAGAAGGCAGTCATGACAAAGGTCGTCAGGTAGACAACGAACCAACAGGTAAAAAACGCGGCTGCGGTGGCCTTGAGGGCGGTCATCCAGTACAAGATGACGATAAATGAGGTGACCTGGAAGAAGAGGATTGGGACGTCAGCAGCGATCTGAGCGATACAGAAGGCAGCTGGGTTGAAGAAAGCGAAGTTCTTGTGCTTAGCGAGAATGGGACGGCCGGTGTAGGAGTCAGTGACCTCGGACATAGCCACCAGAGCGTTGAACAGAAGAGCCAGGAACAGAGCACCACCCTTGATGAAGAGACCAGCGGAGTTGTCGGGAGCATTATAAAAGAGGGATCCAGAGATCAGCGCTTGTACAATGGTGGAGCCTTGCTTGATGATGAAGGTCGCCTTGTCACCCCAGATTATCTGGTATTGACGAGTGACACATGCTTTGACCTGTGCTAAGAAGGAGACAGTCATGGGCGACTGCTTTGGTAGATGCTTCGACTTGTCGAGGGAGATCGCATGGATGAAGGTTTCGGTGTTGACCTTCGCCTCCTGTGTGTTCGGGTACTCGAGCTCGCGGTCCATGCTGACCTTGATGGGTGACTCGCTGTAAGCCCTCTCAAGCTCGATGTTGTTGCGGGGAAAGCGTGCCTCGAACGCGGGCTTGATCTGTCGCTCGCTTGGAACGGTAACACCTGTAAGGAAGTCTGCCACGTTGGCGCCGTCACCACAGACAAAGCCGTGAGACTCCATGAAGGGGCGAGCTTGTTCAAGTGGACCGTAGTAGACCTGCTTGCCTTCGTCGAGGACAAGCACCTTGTCGAACAAGTCGTAGATACCATTACCAGCCTGGTACAGCGTAACGATGGTGGCAATACCCATTGTGTCCGTCATCGAGCGTAAAGCACGAGTGTACTCCAGGGCTGTAGAGGCGTCGAGACCACGAGTGGAGTTATCCCAGCACATGACACTGCCCCTTGTGCACAGAGTCTCAATGATGGAGACTCGCTTGCGTTCACCACCGGACACACCTCGAACAAAGGCGTCACCAACTTTGGTGTCTTCGGTGTGGGAGATCCCCATGGAGTCTAATAGGAAGTTCTTGAACTTAACACGATAGTCTTCTCGATTTTCTGTGTTGTTTGGCAAAGTGTCTGGAATGTTTAGCCGAGTAGCGAAATCCATAGTCTTTCCAACAGTGAGAGAGGGGTAGAAGAGCTCCTCTTCAGTATTAATCACAATGGAACCGCGGTACTGCTCGGCCTCTTTTGCGGTCATGGTGCCGAAGCGAACCTCGCCATCGACTTCAGCATATCTGTTCACAGTGTGAGCATAGGATTCAGGTCGGGGTGCAGATCTGTTGACTTACCCCTTTCTCTTATTCGCAAGCATTTTCAGGAGAGTAGTACAGCCAGATCCTGGCCTTCCAAGAACCAGAAGCATCTCTCCCGGTTTCACGCAACCACGGCTTCTATCGAGAATCGTCTTCAGTGGGGCCTTGTTGCGTGCCTCCTTTGCCTGTTGAATTTTGTTGAACTGACTGAGGACGTTCTCCTGTAGTGTGGCGTCGGACGGTACGACTCTGACTGTCAGGTCCTTCCATGTGACACCAAGGCTTCGACCTTCCGCTGGATCATTGGCTTGGAAGTCCTTCACATGTTGGTCCAGGCGCCATTCGTTGACCTTAGTCTTCTCCGATGAATCATCGGTTTCGCCCTTCTCGTTCCTCGACGTCCATCGCTCGATCCCATGCTCCTCTGATTGTTCTTGTTGCTGTTGTTGTGATTTGCCAGAGAAGGTCCTTGAGAGTCTACGAAAGAGATCATCACCAGCTCCCTCAGCTAGACCGACGTTCATGACCGATATGCTTCGTCTTCTGCCGTCCATGGCGGTTGTGTTAGAGATTATGCTGCCTACACTGGCATTCGAAACTAAGGGTGAGGTTTAGAGAGAGAGTGAGAAGGGAAGGTATTAAAACTAGGAAATGAATGATAAGTAATGTCAGACAGCTCGCACAATCGGTCCTTAAGCGTTGCTCGGCTTTGGTTGCGCGAGGACGAAGGTAAGTAATCGTTGGCCGTTGGAAGGCGATTTAGATAGAATATCAAAGAAACAGATTAGTGCGTGGATATCGTGGTACGAAACCCCATTGTTTTCACCCCAAAGCTTAATTCCGCCATTGCAATTGGGCAAAGATACAGCTATGACATGAGCTAAGTCGCCAGAAGATTGGTTTGGACGGGCCGGTAGCTGCCGTGGAGTCCTTGACGTCCGGCCTCCGAGTGCAGACACAGAACTCCAGAACCTTTGGGCGGACTTTTCTCCTTTCCAAACATGGGAAAGTGGGTCCAGGTTGACTTTTCAGCGATGGCGCCCTTTTGCTCCCGCTTAAAATAGTCAGCCCGTCCGCTACGAAGCACCGAACACCGAACTTGTCCTTCGCCATGCTTCGAAGGGGTCTTCGCCCTACGCAAGATGCGACGCCCATGCGACGTGTCTTGCAGGATGAGATATAGTTACGTGGCAGGTGCAGGCTCTCAGCTTGGCAGCTCCAAGAAGCTGGCGAGTTACTATTGTACGGTAAATGGTCCGATGTTCGCGCGTCATTGGCTTTGGATTGCGCGATGTAAATTGGCGATGTTGTGCGTCACCGTTGTTCCCATGCTGACCACGAGGCGCCGGTTGCATCCTGGGACGGTCCGACTGTGCAAGGCAGACGTTGGCGTAGTAGAGTAATCACTGTTGTAGGTAACGTCGGCTCCGAGAGAAGAGATGCAGACGTCCAAGTTGTTGTACACGGACCAGAGTGCTGGCACGTGTCAATGGCTGGCCCACTTCTTGGGAGCGATGTCAGATGAGAATGTCGGCGAACGGTGTTGGGCTTGCGCCGACTGCCGATGGTCTTGGCGTGTTGGAGATGAAGAGGTCTATTGCGTGCCTAATTGCGTGTTAAGAACGTTTGAGACACAAGAACAGGTTTGAAAAGGTGCTGGGCCTTGAAATAAGAGCAGACAATGTAGGATTTCAGAAGTGGCACCGACCTTGAGAGCGACGACAAAGGAGACACCCGGAAAGCGCGGACTGTGGACCTAATATTTCCTGGGCCAACAGCAAAAACGTGTACACGGCTGTCAAAGCAAGCACGCGTGGGCATGCGCAGAAAGACAACACCTCCCTTCACATATTGCCAAAATAGCATCGAACTACGAACGACATGCAACGAGCCAGGACTGCGGGTGACGCCTCCGACTCTGTGCTTGTACGGCCTGTGGCAACATCAGGGGCCGACCGCCGACGCCCGTCGCAAGGATAAGCTCTGGGTGAGTTTGCTGGCCATTGGCTTCAAAGCTCAAAGACGATGAATATATCTACGCTGGCTATCGATGTCGTGTCCCATCCAGCAATCAGTTAGAGAAATGTCCGACTGCGGTCGAAGCTGCCAGAATCACTGGTGCGCAAGTGCGCTCAAAGTTCGCCAACCCCAATCTTACAGCGGCACCAAGGAAAATTTTGATCCACGAGTTGAAGGTCTGGAAGTGCTCCGCTAACCCCAACGAAGCAGCGGTTCCTGCATTGTGGGGCATGCAACAAGCATCACGGATAAGCTTTTCGACGCCACTTTTTTACCGTCCATCAGAAGGCTTGACCTCGATACCGCGCCCACACATCGCAGATCTTATTACCCGGCATGCTGGTTGCTACGAGGATCCTGACGGGCACCTGTTCACGACATCTATGATGAATGCTGTCACGCCTCGAAAGGCCCCTACGTCACACTCGAACACAAGTCAAGCCTATCTGTGCACAGCGACTCAGTATGTCGTCCTCGGCTGCCTAGGCTCGTATTGCTCTTCCACGTGGTGGAGTCTATCGGTCTCGCTGTTAATCGAGCGTTCTAGCTTATCGGGAGATTGTTCCATGCCGTCCCCAACTTGCGACTCCAGGTCATATCAGTGTCCACTCTGTGATCAGATATGTTCAGTCGCCACATCTCCGCCGCATTCTTGACACGGTGTCATGCTTCCGTTTGTGGGCTCTGCTGTGCCAGATTTGGCGCAAGAAAGGAACCGTAAGAGAGCCGGCGATGTCTTGAACACGACAACACCGAGAAAGCGCTAGTATACGGCGGCTGATCTAGCCGTCTACAGGTGTCTCACCCGTCGTTATTACCGTCACTCGCTAAAGCTTGCGACCGGGTACCTGTTAGTCGACTGCACTGTTGTAGATTTGTTGATATGCTCGATGCTGCTCGTCTCAACTTCGCAGGCAGTAGACGGCATGCGTCGCGGTACAAAATTGATGCGTCCCTGCCAATGTGAAGTAGGACTGGTTGCCTCCTTGATCAACAGCGATTGCCATTATGCAGATTCATTCGCCTCCGCGGTTGATGTGAACTCCATGAGGAGTCCCCCCCTGCGCACATCGGCTCCACCACGTCCATCCCAAATGAAAGATCCTAGTCCAGCTGAGATTCCAGCCGATTGATCTGCCGACATATCGATTCCCGAGTAAGGTGCGTCACGTCGCCTAGGCTGCTCCATCTACCAGGTGATACATATCCCTGGGCAGATCACTGCAATCCAAGAGTTCATCAACACGCGGTTCCTCGCATTTCCTTCGTTTCCCATCTTCTTTTTCTTCTTCTTCACGGAGACTGTCACTCGCTATGCGGTCCCTTCTTTTTGCCGCTCTTGCTGGGCTTGCAGTTGCCCAGTCCAATTCGACGATTAGCAGCACTTCAGTCGTTTCAAGCACGTCCCGCGTGTCTTCAACACTGTCCTCCTCAGCGACTGTCAGCAGTGCCAACTCTGCGATCACCGTGGCGCTTGATGGCTCAGGTCAATACACTGCTATCAACGCTGCTGTTAGCGCAGCGCAGAACAGTGGTATTCCCACTGTCACAGTCCTATCTGGTGAGCCTCTCACTTATGTTCATTCTTCAATCAAAAATCTAACATCGCTAGGAACCTACATGGAGGCAGTCACCGTCGTTGGCACCGCCACAGTGACCATCGTTGGAGCTACGGCTACAGCTGCTACTGACTGGTCCCAGAACCAAGTCGTCATCTCGAACCCTGCTGTAGCGCTCACCATCGGTTCCAACAGTGCCAAAGGCGTGACACTGAGAAATCTTAATTTCATCAATTCCGCTAGCACAGGTCCATCCGTGAACGCCGTCGTACTTTCTTTGAGGGGTAACAATATAGCCTTTTATGGATGTTCCGTTGTATCTCCAGGAGCTACTGCTATCTCTGCGTCGTACGGCCTGGCGTTCTTTGCCAACTCAAGGATTGAGGGTTCCGATAAGCTCTTCTACAATGTTCCGTCGATGTACGTGTACAAGTCGACCATTGTGCCGCTTTCCTCGGGCGCCAGCATTGTCTACTCGAAGGGTGCGACTGTGAACAACGTATTCTACAACTCTACAGTCGTTTTCGATTCGGGTTCCATCGAGCAGAAGCCTGGTTCCAGCAACGCTGGTGTGTTCCTGGCGGCGCCTAACGGAGCTGGTGCAACCGTCATCTATCGCAACGTCGCAATGGGAAGCCTTGTTTCCGCAGCCGGTATTCACCCGTCGGCAGCTACTGTCTCGTCATTCTACGGCGAGTTCGCCACCACAGGCGCCGGATCATATGCTAAGAACGCGGCGACTCGTCCTACGTACGACACCTTGCTCACTGCAGACCAAGTGTCGCAGTATACTGTCGACAAAGTGTTTGCAAACGCCTTCTACCCCTACGGTAGCCCTTCGACTTCGTGGGTCGACTCATCTGTGTTGTTGTCTGTGGCCAATTCAGATACTGCACAGCTCGCCTTTGCTTCGTCCTCAGCGATCGTTGCTTCCCCGACTTCCTCGATCGCACCTTCGAGCACATCCAACTCCACTGTCTCAGCGGGTGTGAGCACCAGTGCCTCATCGACTGCATCGTGCGCGCCCTCTGCCACCCTGATTGTGTCTAAGAACCCTGGTGCGTGCGATTACAGCAATGTCACCGCTGCTATCGCCGCCCTGCCGAACGATTCCAAGGCATATACCATCCAGATTGGAGCTGGCGTCTACAACGAGCAGATCTCAATCACTCGCAAGGGCAAGGTCACACTGATTGGCGCAACTAATAACACTCGCGATTATACCCAGAATCAGGTCACCATCCAGACCTCGAATGGTGTCCTAACCAGCGCTGGCCAAGATGAGATCACACCTGTCATCAATGCGAAGAAGACCAATGACAACTCTGGTATGGCTCTGTACAACATCAACTTTGCCAATGTCTACCCGCAGACGAAGAACACAGCTGCATTGGCTGCCGACTTCTATGGAGCTAACCTTGCCGCCTATGGATGCTCCTTCACTGGGTTCCAGGATACCTTGTTGGCTAATAAGGGTACTCAGGTGTTCTCCAACTGCTATATTGAAGGTATGGCTACCTCCTTGACCTCATTGGGACTGACTTGTTGACTTCGATTAGGTAGCGTAGACTTCATCTGGGGCTACTCGACTGCTTTCTTCCATCAGTGCATGATCGTCACCAACACTCCCGGTAGCTGTATTGCAGCACAGGCTAGATCTACTGCTACCACCACTGGTGGATACGTCTTCGATCGCTCTGTCATTACCTACAGCTCCACCTATGGAAGCTCATTCGGGTTAAGTTACCTTGGACGTCCCTACTCTGAGAACTCGATTGCAGTATACACCAACTGTTTCATCGATAAACACATCTCCGCTGCTGGTTGGTCGGTCTGGTCAACGAGTGCTCCGCAAACCTCGAATGTCATGTTCGGCGAATACGCAAACACCGGCCCCGGCTCTTGGCAGGCCTCTACACAGCGTGCTAGCTTTGCAACCAACTTGACCGCTTCTCAAGCTGCGCAATATGAGCTTGCTGCCTGGATTGGCGACACTACTTGGCTCGATCAGACAGCGTACAACTATGTGCCTTCCTACAGCTTAACAGGTCCTTCGACTTCGGCCTCGCCATCCACCAACACTACTGCCTCTGCTGGTAGCTCCACCACTTCAACCATCAACACCCACCCCGATAGTGGTTCAGTACCGCCAGTTGGTGCCATCGTTGTGTCAGTTGACGGTAGCCACAATGCTACCTTCACCAATGTCACGGCGGCCCTCACATCTCTGCCCAAGGACGCTACAAACCAGACAATTTTCCTCTACCCTGGTAGCTACAACGAGCAGGTGCCGTCGATTAACCGTCCTGGCGCCGTGAGAATTATTGGATACACCACTGGCAATCCTGGCCAATCGTACAAGGATAACACCGTCACAATCACGTTCTCTCGTGGTCTGTCCGTCTCGCCGCTTCCCGCTGGGCACTCTGATGCTGAGACTGCTACTGTTCAGACAGCCTCTAGCCGCATCAGCTTCTACAATATTGCCATGATCAATACAGACAATCTTGACGGTGCTGAGGCTTCGTATGTAACGCTCGCTGCTTCAATCTATGGTAACGATATTGCCTTCTACGGCTGCTCGTTTGACGGTTGGCAGGATACACTGCTCACTGGTGCCACTACTGGCTACCAGTACTACGAGTCTTGCTACATCGGTGGTGAGTATATAAGCTTCTTCCCGTCTTTGCACGTGAGTTAACCAATGGCAACAGGTGCGATTGATTTCATATGGGGATACTCCAAGGCGTACTTCAAGGGGTGCACAATTGGCGCTAAGCGCAAATCTTCTGCCATCACTGCTCACAGCAGAGCCTCGTCTTCTGCCATTGGAGGTTACATCTTTGACAATTGCCTTTTTACTACTGCCCCTGGTGTGGCGGACGACCTCACAAACAAGGTCTACCTGGGTCGCCCATACTCTGCGTATGCTCTGGTTGTCGTCAAGAACAGCTACATCGATTCGGCAATAGCGCCTGCAGGTTGGAAGATCTGGAGTGCGACTGACCCACGAACGGACCACATCACGTTCGCAGAGTTCAACAACAGCGGCCCCTCGAACTGGGAGAACAATGCGGCTGCTCGTCAGACTTTCGGATTTGCTACGCTTCTCGCATCTGACACATACTCGCTTGCGTCTGTGATAGACTCAACTGAGTGGATCGATATGACCTACTGGAACTCCATTGTCACTCCCGCTCCTGCTACTGCCATTCCTGCTGGCCCTGCAAACATTACAGTAGGCGGGAACTCTACTGTCGATGGCACGACCCCACCAAGCGGCGCTCTCATTGTATCCAAGAGCCCTATCACTGGGGTCACTACCTACCAGACTATCCAAGATGCCTTGAATGCAGCCCCGACCACCAGCAAGGTCAACGCCACCATCTTCATCTATCCTGGCGTATACAACGAGCAACTCATTGTCAACAAGTCCGGCACAACCATATTCATGGGCTACAGCAATGCTACAGATGACTACTCTCAGAACCAGGTTTCCATTCAGTTCAATCACGGCATCGATACTCAAGGCACAGATGGAAGCGATACCGACGGAGCAACCGTGTATGCTACCGGCAACTACTTCTACGCCTACAACATCAATTTCCGCAATACGGCTGGCACTACTCAGAACATCGCCTCACTCGGCTTTGCAGTGAAGAGTAGCAAGTTTGCTGCTCTATATGGCTGCCAGATCTATGGCAACCAGGATACGCTCGACATCTCGGGTAATCTCTTCACGTTCAAGACATACATCGAGGGGTAAGGCATACATCAGCATTTCTCTTCATTCACAAGCTAACGGCACGATCAGCAACGTTGATTTCGTGTTTGGCAACGGAGCGGCGTACTTCCTTGACTCTACTATCTCGCCTAATGAAGATGGCATCAGCATTACTGCAGACAAGCGCACCACCAATACCACTGCTGGAGGTCTCGTATTCGACCAGTGTACGTTGAAGCCTGCCCCTGGAACAGGTCCCTTCAAGAACATTGGTCTCGGCAGGCCGTGGAACAACAACGCACGCGTGGCGTTCGTCGACTGTTATCTCGACTCGATGATCAGCGCTGCTGGGTGGAACCAGTGGAGCAAATCCTCGCCTCAGACAGCTGGCGTGACCTTCGGAGAGTATCATAACTACGGTCCAGGCTCCAATGTTTGCAACCGTGCTTCGTTCTCGCAGCAGCTCTCGGACGCAGATGTTGTTCAGTTCCAGCTCGGCAACTTCTTCGCTTCTACCAAGTTCATCGACTTTTCTCGCGTCAACACACAGCCATTTACCATCGGTATCGGCTCTGTTCAGATCTGCGCCACCGCCTCATCGTCAGCCATCTTGGCTTCTAGCACCAGCTTGAGCTCAAGTATCGCCTCCTCGTCGGTGACACTGTCTTCGAGCTCAGTGTCGTCTTCGTCCTTGCCTGTCGTCACTGTCTATACTACCGCAACAGCTGTCGTTAAGCTCACGGCTAGCACTACAATTACCCAGCCTGACGCGACTTCAACCACCGTTCTCAAAATCACCTCAACCGCATCCTTCACGGGCGCCGACGTCGTCAAGACTAACGTTGAGAAGGAGACCGCAACCGTCTCATTCACTTCTCCTGACGTCACTTCTACGTCCACATTCATGGTCACCGAAGACGATGGTTTAACAATTACCCCGGATGCTGTTACCAAGAACAGTATCGTCAAGGCGACGACTACAATCGGCGGAACCACAACTGCCAAGACTCCTACTTCAACGATCAAGGGCACCACTACTAGCATTCTTGTCCGGACTGTAAGCCCCAAGCCTACGACGATCACACAGAGCGAAGGAACTACTGCCATATTCGTAAGCAGCATCACGCCAAAGGGCGCTTCCACAACAATCAAGACGACCATTTCGTTGGAACCGAGCAGCACCAAAACTACTACAATCAAGGCCAAGAACTCAGTGACCATCAGCACAGTTTCTCTCAAGACGGTTACCAAGAAGACGACTACCACTGAGTCTTGCATCCCCACGGAGCCTGCTCACATGGTCCGCCGTGGCGCAATTATCCCCCGCGCGGGTGGTAGTACTACCACAATCACTATTAGCACGGCAATCACCAGCTTCGTCAAGACAGCTACGGCGACACAGACTGGTTTCACTGCTCTTGTCACCGAAACTTCCGTCGCTAAGATCAAGACGTACACTCAGCCAGGCGCTACCAGCACCTTGGACCTGACTTCTTTCGTCAAGACCACGACTATAGCACAGCCTGGCCTTACACACCTTATTACTGTGACATCAATTGACAAGGTTGGCAAAACTACGACTCTAAAGGCCTCCACAACAACTGTTTTGTCTACTAGCTACATCACGCAGCAGCAGTTGCAGACTGTGACGCCCGATGCGGTGACAATCAACAGCCTGAAGACTCGTACATCAACTCAGGTTGTTACTGCTGCCCAGCAGACTGTCTACATCACGAAGTCTGCCGATGTGACGTCCACAATCCGCACCACGCTCTCTATCAGCACGCACACAATTTTCCAAACTATAACACAGGGCGGCGACGTTGCAACGAGTACAGTGACTGCGCCTCCAGGCACTAAGACCGTAGTTGCGAAGAGCACGACTACTGTTTGGTCGGTGGCTACGAAATTTGCGAAGCACGCGCAAGCTTGCAACTAGGAGATAATACTGAATGCTACCGCATTTCTATCTGTACATATTGTTTAATGTCTAGAAAAAGGAAACACGAGATAACTTAGGAGTTGTTCAGTATCTTCATGTTCGAACACCTCTCCAGAATCGCGCTACATTCATGACAGCTTCAAGCGAGCGACTCGGCCACCTAATCCTGATGCCCAGCACGTATCTCTGCTCACGCACTCCACAGCGTCAAAACTTCCGTTGCCGATGGCTTGCCAGTTCTTGCCGCCATCATACGTAATGTCTGAGCCTGAGGTTCCCACCGCAACCGCAGTACGACCTCGTCCGGACACCCATGACACGCCCGATCTGTACCCTCCAGGGAAGCTCTCTGCTTTGTGCCACGTCTTGCCGCCATCCTTCGACCATGCAGCGTTGTTCACGTTTTCCGCTGGCTTTTCGTAGTCTCCACCAACAGCGATTCCATTCTTCTCGTCCCTGAATCTAACCGAGAACACACCAGCCGCTGCACCGCCCCCAATCGAGCTATTGCTAACCTTCCACTGATGCCCGTCGTCGCTCCGGTAGATACGTCCTGGGTCCACGCCACCACTTGCGATATACCACCGACCCGCAGCAGCTTCAATACACGTCCCACTTGCTGCAAACCCGAACTCGCCGGTCAAAGCAGCAGGAATACCTGCAGGATCAACAATCTTCCACGTCGCGCCGCCATCCCAGGTTCCAATCAGCCTAAACTTCCCTTCCACAGGATCGCTTATAGCAAGACCATGCTTCTTGTTCTCGAACACCATGCAGTCATAAAACGCATTGGGTTCAGTGTTGATGAATGTCGGTTTCCAAGACTTGCCACCATCACTGGTTTGGTAGATACGGCTCGCGTATCCCTTGCCGATTGACAATATCACAGCTGACTTGTCAGAGAAGGCTTCGATGTCTCGAAATTGGAAGTTAGTTGAGTTTTCTGGGGATAGGGAGGGCGAAACGTTGGACCATGTCGAGCCGCCGTTCTTAGTAAGGAGGACGGTGCTGTTGGTTCCTGCTATCCATACGACATCCTTTGAGACGGATGAGAGGCCGCGGAATTGTTGGGTGCTGTTCGTTGGTTTGAGGTCCCATGCTAGAGGAGAAGGTTTGAAAGCTGGGTAGGTGCTTGAGAGTGCTGTTGCGGTTGGCGACAAGAGGATTGCGCTAAGCCCTATGAGTGCGTTGGAACCTTTCATCGCGAGGTAGTCAATGGATGAGGCTTTTTTTCCCAAACGTCGAAAAAAGATGGTGCGAGTAATGATGTTATTGTTATGGTTCTTGAGCGAGGTACAAGGTGCCCCACTTTGCGTGGCAATGTCTAACCTGGAAAGGCAGGTGGGCTTGATGGATTCATAATAGGGAGATGCGATTTATCGGCCATCACGAACTCGCACGCGAACATTTTCTCCGACTGGGCTTTACTTCACAGTATCGCCATCAGCGAGGTGTTTCTCCTGAGGATCCTTTTTGTTGAAAACGTTCAGTTGGATGGAAGTGAGCCTTGTAAGTGAAGTGCCCTATCCCAGTAGTTCATGACTGTATGGTGCTTGCGATACCAGCCATATTTTTCCCTCAGTATCTTGTTGGCCTTGAGGATACCTTCTGAAAAGGCAGCCACATACAAATGAGCATCCTCCTGGACTGATAAATTACATTGGAGAGAGCAAGGGGCAAGGTTGATACCCATTTGGTACGTCTGAGCACTCAGGGGTGCTTCATGATTGTGGTGTTGTTCATCATCAATGAGTGCATGAATCTGCTTCAGGGGTACTGTGAAGGGATGACCAAGTTTACTTCCTCTTTCTGCTGCTGCACGCTTCCTAGCTCTTCTCTTATTATTCCAGTGTGCTTGGTCCTTCACCCACTGCTGTCCAGTCTTTGCTGTGATCCTGTGTTCATCAGCTATCTGCTTCAAGGTCTCCCCATCCTGCTGTTGATCATGTGCCTCAAAGTAGTGGGAACGCTCAGAACTATCAGGTTCCTTGAGGCTGTGGTGTTGTTCCGGGGTCTTTGGCGATTCACAGGAACTCATTTTTGTCAAACAATACTAATATTTGAGTGAGTTGGAGGGGGTGATAGGGCAGGTTTGATGGGGTTGATGACCTCATTGAACTGAGCCGAAACGAATTATTGCACCCCCTGGTGGGATGATGCCCCTCTCTGGCGTCACACTGCAGCCTGGGGTGTCGTGTCAATCCTGCCTCCTAGGCACGTCGCACACTATCCTCTGCCCTTGCTGTTCCTCCATCTCTGCCCCTATTCATGCGGCTAGCGTATAAGGTGTAAAGTCCAATCTCTTGAGCGGCCTGTCGCTCGCCGTATAGAGACTCCTTCTTGATCGATATCCCTCGTCCATAAAGACTGTAAGGTGCTGGCATCTGAGGCATAGATTAGACTTGGATCTAGAGCAGTCCCGTCAGCACATATTGTAGCCAGAATCGTGATCCATTCCCGTAAGCCATCCTGTAGAGCTGATCGAAGCTCACCCCTATTCCACATTGCTTCATTGAAGACCTTGTAAGTCCGGGTTCCAAGTTCAAAGCCTTACTGTCATATATGTCGTATGACACTCTCCTGGTCCGGCCTACACGCGATCAAAATTGCACCTTCTTGATGGCATTGTGTGGAAAGGTTGAGGTGTTGATTGATTCTTTTAGCTATTGGCTGGAATCGATCGGGACTATATAATAGAAGGCAATAGCAGTGAAGGATGGGAAGCAAACTGAACTAACCAAATCAGCTGGACAGTCACTGCAGCGGACCGCTAGCAAACACAATCAGTGCCGTGGACCGCTAGCAAACAGGTGGCAATCGTTGGATATCTTCACCCCTCCGACACATTGTCGACAGCCTGGGTGACCTCCTCTTGTGTAGCATCCTGCTTGATCAGAATTGATGTCATAACTCCACGGGTTCCGCCGTTCATATTTCTACAGTCCTCAGTTGAAGCCGGAATTTTGCCCGCATAGGGCTGTGACTGGTACTTGTGGAATACCTGCCCATTCTGGACCACCTCACCGTCGTAGTCAAAGCGGACATCGTATTGCTCAAGGTCGGGCTTATTCTTCGGCCAAGCGGTCTTTCCTCTACTGATAGTTGGTTTTGCGAGTTTCTTCCAAGCTCCACTGTCACTGATGCCTCTGCTGACGGTCTTGAGGGTCTTCATGGTTGAGAGGCTGGTGGTCGAGCGGCTAGTTTGACTCGTCAAAGTTGTCGATGATGTCTCTGAACTGAGAAGAAAAGTATGCAGGGAACTGGTGAGAGCGATATATCTGTTGTTACCCAGTGAGATGTGGGAGAGGCTGACTGAACCGAACATTCAAGAAACAGAAGGTATTTAATAGTTTCTCACCGATACTGATTCGTCTCCATTTATGCAGGGGCACACAATGATTGATGAAGTAGTCCACGTATGAGCGCGCCTCGGGAGCGCTCTGACAAAGTATTGGGATTGTGCACTCTGTTCTTGGTTTGTCAACACAAAACAGTAGTGAAGGGGGCACAGCACAAAGCCCCATGTGTAGAAAGTGACGGGTGCTCAGAGCTGTCAACAAACAAACCAAACCAAATATGAGGCTCTATACTTGCTTATTTGGCAACTTTGTAGTGTTGTAGTTTGCTTGTTTGATTTGACGCGGCTCTGAGAGGCTTATTTGTTTGCTTGATTGCTGATATTTGAGTGATCTGAGAGTACCGTGAGGGTATTTCTATGGTGTTGTAGGCAGCGGGTCCTCCCATTTATTAATAGCAAACTTGTCGATGAGTTCATCGTCGTCATACTTTGCTGCTGCTGCTGCTGCTGCGGTGGGGGCGAGGTAACCTGCCCTACTCCATCGCTGTACGCAAACCAAAGCAGCGAGTAGTTGACTGTCCATTTTCCGCCTCTTTGGCTCCATTATATCCCCAGTACCAGAGAACACACGCTCGCAATCGACATTGGAGGCTGGGATAGTCAGCACGTCCAGCGCCAATTGTGAGAGGTTTGGGTATTTTGGCGTCAGCTGTTGCCAGTATTGTACAGCTGTTTGCCCCTCCTTGCGTTGTATAGCAGTCCACATAGGCTCTTTAAGCCAGCTCTTGTACTCATCTTCCTCTTGTAGCTCGCCCTTATCGTCGTCATTGTCAAGTATCGAGTCGATCGCATCGTCAAAGCTGCTCAATTTAGACTTTAGTGATAGTGTGATTATAGTTGTAGTAGCACCCGCGCAAGTAAGCTTATATTCAGCTCAGACTTGCTGGAACCGTGCTTCCAAAGGGCTCAATTGTAAAGGCTTATTGCGCCAAACTTGCTTAAAGTATGTTTTATAACGCGGGTGAAGAGCCGTAGCAGTGTAGTATAGGGGTGTTCGAACAAGTTTCTTGAAGTAGTAGACTGCTTTACGCTTTGCAGCACGTAGATTGACTGGTAGGTGGTCTTCAGGTGCCTCAGTTGGCTCGTAGTCAACATCTCCCCAGGCCTGGAGGCGTGAATCGCATCAGTGCCAAACATAACAGTTTGGCCGACGAGGTTGAGTATGTGGCAAGCGTAGCGGAGGCGTCAATCGTTAGCCACAAAGCCGTACATCGTAGCAAGCTTGTTGACAGCGGTGTCATTATTGTAGGCATTGTCAAGCATGAAGTAACCAAGCATGCTGCTGTTGATGTCAAAGGATCGTAGGATTTGTGTAACGCAGTCTGAAATTGCCTCGCTAGTATGTGCTTCTAACTGTGGCAACGCGATTGGAAGGTCAAAAAGCTTGCCATTGTTGTCAGCAAAGTGAGCGACTACTGCAAAGAAGCCACGCTTCCCCCCTTTGGTCATCCAACCGTCAAAGCTAACGTGTATTTTGCTAGAGGCCTCAGACAACGCATACTTGATTTGAGAATATAAGGCCTTGTAGAGCTTCATTACAAACGCGGGGACGCTTTTGTGAGTCCTCCAAAGCGCTGCCTCAGCCTCTGGGTTGGCGAATTGTATCATCATGCGGAAGGACTCAGTCGTAAACTTGCGCAGAGGCCTATTGTTGTCAACGAGCCACAGTACAGCAGCCTCGCGGAAGCCCTGTTTGTCGAAGTTACTTAGCTCTTGATAGACCTCTTGGTTGAGCTTAATGCCCTTCGTGATTGCTTCTTGTATAAACGTTTGACCAAACTTCAGCAGTTTCTAGCGTACTACAGGGCTGTCTTTTCTGAGCCTGTGGCCAGGTAGATCGGCCTTGAGGTGTGTATTGGCAGAGCTTGTTGCTGCACCGACTTGTAGCAAGCCGCCAGGCCTCTTGTGTGTATGACAGTACTTGTGACGGTTTATGGAGTAAAGCGGTCATGTCTGCCACGTGTGCTGGTGCAGTGCTCTTGCCTGTTCCAATAGCACTTTCTGTCTGCACAACAGATACATCATGTAAACAGACCCCGCTGGGGGTCGAGTGAGGGAGACAGAACACTGAAAAAACAACACAACATAATATACTGATTTTACTGCTTCACGCGGTTACCCCTGACTTACTGCCCTGCGTGGTTACACCTTCACTTATTGCATTTACTGCAACAGTTATGAGCCCGGATAGCAACTGAAGCTTGCCAACAGCCCAAATAGCGACTGAGAAGCTTCCTCACTACGACAGATTGCAACTGAGAAGCTTGCTTGCTCACTCACTCACTCACTGACTCACAACAACTGACCGGCACCTACGATCGAGATCAACAATTGATCATACTGTACGGAGCCACCAACACATCAACCAACAATGACTACCGAATCAGACCCTGTAGTCACCCGAGTGACAGTCGTCCTCGATCGAGCTGACAACTGGCACAAGTGGCTATTCATTTGAAAGGATACTGCACAGAAGAATGAGCTCTGGCAGTACGTGGACCCTGCCATAAATGCAGCGGACCTGCCTACGTTAATGGCACCACCTGAACCTCAACTCACTGATCACAACAATGATGCAACATCGATTGCTCACCTTTCAGCTGCACAGCAGAAGCTGTTTCAGTGGGAATACGACCGATGGGAACGCAAGGACATTGAGTACAGACGTCAGAAGAAAGCACTGGCTGAGTTCAACTCTGAGATTGGCAAAACGATTGCTGCAAAGCACCTTTACCTGATCGAGAACAAGGACACACCGTACAAACGATTGACAACACTCAAGAAGCACCTTGCACCATCAGATGCAACACGACAATGCGATCTTATTGCACGATACAAAGCACTCCAGACACCACCACGAGGCAAGAAGACTGAGGAGTGGCTACGTTCCTGGGTAGAGGTCACAAACATGTGCATCTCTGCTAAGGTCCCTGAGACAATGGGATCTCGAGCACAGGAAGTGTCACAAAGATGCTACGAGTAGGCCCTTTAGGACTCGCTGGGAGTCTAAATCAATTACTACGTACGGTATCTAAGTAGGTACAAGACGTTGTGTACCAAACAGAACTCTACCAGCAATAGTCTATATACTTACGTGTGGGTTTGTTCGGTTACCGGTTAATAATCGGAACTGAGTTGGATAGGTATCGGGGTTGCAAGTCCCGGAGCGGGGCTTGCAGAATCCTAATACTCCCGCCTCGGAGGTTGCAGGCCCGCTCCGGAGGTGACCGGAGGTTGTACGTCCGCTTCGGAGGTGTGTAAGGACGCTGGGGATTTGGTGCGTACGGTCAGGGACAGTACGGAGCGGATCCGGATATTGTCAGGGGATCTGGAGAGGATACCGTGACAGGAAGACTTCCTTGTTGCTTGTAGGACAATTGACCCAGAGTATGGGACATCAGGACTGCGTGCTCTGATCGACCTGGAAGAAGCTGGTACTGCTATTCCATCAGTGGACGACTATGTCAGCAAATTCACAACCTACCTTAAGCGGATACGACCACTATCGACAGGACTCAGCTCAATGGCAGCAGAGCTCGACGTTGCTCAGCCTCAGCAGCAGCAGCAGCAGCAAAAGAAGAGGGATGGCAATAAGGCTGAACCTCAATGCCTGTGTGGTCTGAAACATTATTGGGTTGACTGCTGGTTGATCAACACTGAACACCCACAACGGCCAAAGGCTTATGCCAACCCAATTGGCCAGAAGAAGCTGAATGCTGCCCTTGCTGCCAATCCTGACCTGGGAGACCGGATCAACAAGGCACTTGACAAGTGGCGCACAAAGCAACAAGGTGGTGGAGGGAGCATTGCCATGGATGATGGCAGCCCCCCTACTAGACCGATAGTCAACACTGTACGATATATGGTACAGGACTCAGAGCCCAATGCTCTTGAGTATAACCAAGTCAGAACAGAGACCGAGACGACTCAAGACAACCGAGTCAAGACCGAGACGACTCAAGACAACCAAGTCAAAACAGAGACAGATACAACCACAGATGATGGCTTAAAGCTGGAGGACGACCTCTACACAGCAGTGAGCATAGAGGAAGACATCGACAAGCTCAGTAATCGATGGATACTTGACCCTGGCTCCAATACTCATGTAATCAACACTGAAGAATGGACTGGGTGGACAAGGCAATACGATGCTTCTACCACTGACTTTGTAGGAGCTGGAACAGGACGTATCCAGATTACTGCCTGGGGAAACATGGAACTAATGGCAAAGACACCGACAGGTGTACGACCACTGAAACTCACCCATGTTGCCTATGTCCCAGGATTCATTACTAGCCTGATTGGTCTGGCACGCTGCAAGAAGATGGACATACACTTCAACTCTGGACGAGACCTCTTGTACAAGGGCAATCCAGGAACGGTCCTTGCCTACCTGGAGCATGATGGAGGACACTGGCTGGTAGATGCTGATATCTCACGCCGTCCAAAACCAATTCTATTGTCATCCTTCAGCACTATCCACCGACCTTCAAAGGCTCCACGTCCAGACCAGACAGTCAGTGCTCAGACAGCTTACCAGATATGGGGTCATCCTGGCAAGAAAGCAATTGAGAAGCTCACAGAACACGTTGACGGCCTTGTCATTGAAGGCAACACTGAGGGATTCTGCAATGTCTGTACAGAGTCAAAGTTGACAAAGCAGATATCTCGACGACAACAGGAGGATCAAGCACAGGAGCCCTTCTACCGAGTTGCTGTTGACATCATTTAGCTGATACCCCAAGGAGAAGCCTGCATGAATAGAGATCGATGGGCTGGACACCTTGTCGATCAATACTCCAAGTGGCACAAAGTCTCTACCTTCCCACATCGATCAAAGTCTTTCCTGAGTCGATGGATGGTCCAGAACGTACGAAGTATACAGCGCATTTTCAACTATGATATAACAGCTATCAAGACAGACAACAAACGTGGATATGGCACTTCTCCAAACTTCTTGGAAGACCTCTGCAAAGACCTTGGTATTCGATATGAACCACGAGCAGAGTACACAGAAGAACAGAATGGACTGGCAGAACGAGCAGGATCACTGCTTGTCATTTGAGCCAGAGCCATGAGGATTCAAGCAGGACTGCCAAAGTCCCTGTCCCATGAGTTGATTTGAACAGCAGCATATGTCCTGAATTGGACACCAACAGAAGCACTGCAATGGAAGACACCATACGAAACTGTCTGGAGAACAAAGCCAAAGGTTCAACACATGAATCCAATAGGCTGTCGAGCCTATGTACTCAATTGATTGCTCAAGCGTGCAGACAAGCTTGAATCAAGAGTATTGATTGGACACTTGGTTGGTTATGACTCTACCAACATCTTCAGAATCTGGCTACCCACTAAGGACAAAGTTATACGTACCCGAGATGTTGTCTTTGAACCTTCAAAGTTCTATGAAGGTCTACAGGGCTATGCCCCTGAGTCAGTGATCGAGGAGGTCATTGAGCTTCTGGCATTTCCAGAGGAATCTGAGCCTGATGATATGGCAATTGAAGACCTGTTGACATCTTGACAACGTCGTCAACAGCAGAACCCAGACACACCTGTGCTCACTGATTCACAGGTGGGGGGTGATGGAATACAACAAGAGGACAGAAAGGAACAGGAGCATTACAACAGAGAACTTTTCACTCCAGGACACTTGATTCAAGGACCTCAGGATCTCTCTGCAACCCAGATTGAAGGCTATATACCCAATCAACACCAGAACAATGCTCCAAGACGTCGAAACCTTGACCTTGTGTGAGAGGGGGCCAGGTGGGGATACCAACTGCTCTCTGAGATGGAAGGATTGGTGGAAGGATGGTTCAGGCTTGTTGGAGATAAGGGTGTAGAGGAGACCAAGTGTGGGGATACCACAAGTGGTAAAAAGGATAAGTGATAAAGAAGGGATCAAGTGTGGGAATACCACAAAGGATCAGTGAGAAGTGAGTTGAGGAAGGAATTGTTGAGGTGAATTGAAGGAGTGGATTGAGTTTTGAATTGCAAGCATGAGTTATCTGAGCAGGAGGGCAGGCTGCCTTTATAGACAGACTGCTGGCTCCTGGAATGTTCTAGATACATTGGCATTTGTAATCATTTGTAATCATTTGTCAGCATTTGTCAGCAACTGGAAGATTCTGTGTTGTTCCATGGGATTCCATGGGGTTCCATGAGGTTCCATGGGATTCCATGAGGTTCCATGAGGTTCCATGATGTTCCATGAGGTGTGACTGGGTGGATTGTTATTGGCTGCAAGCCATGTCAGGATGACACCTTGACACAGACAACATCATTGAAGGCCCACGACAGACACGACAGACACAACAAATCACTGATTATCAGGAACCTGGGAGATGGTACATACATGCAGTTTCCTATGGAGGATCAGTGGACAATTACCTAAGGGCTTTTTCAACTGCCTTGAACACTGAACCAGCATCAAAGATCCATCGAACACAGGTCCCTGAGGCTCCTCGATCATATCGAGAGCTAGACTACCATCAGTTTGGTGAACAGTTTCGACAGGCTGCTCAGAAGGAGTATCTTGAGATATGGGGAAAAGGCTGCTTTGCCAAAACAACACACACAGCACAGACGGCTGATGCAGAAGTGTTACCCCTGATGTGGGTATTCACATACAAATTTGATGAAGATGGCTATCTCTATCGATTCAAGGCACGTCTTGTAATCCGAGGAGATCTTCAACAGCCATATGGAGACACCTATGCTGCTACACTGGCTGCTCAAACATTCCGAGCACTCATTGCAATAGCCAATCAGTTTGGGCTGGAGCTACTCCAGTACGATGTACCAAATGCATTTCTTAATGCTACACTCAATCGAAAGCTCTATGCTGAGACACCGGATGGTTTCAAGAAGGATGGAGAGCTATTACAGGTACTGAGAGCCCTGTATGGACTGCAAGAGTCGCCACTGTTGTGGTACAAGGACCTCAGAGAGACACTGCAGTCTCTGGGTTTGACGTCAATCCCAGGATTCCCATGTGTCTATGTCAACAACTGGTTGATTATATTCGTCTATGTTGACGATATTGTCATGGCCTTTCACCCATCAAACCAGCATCTACATCAAACCTTTGAGAGGAAGCTTGACAAGCACTACAACTTGAAGTGTCTTGGTCAACTCAAGTGGTTCTTGGGCATACGCATTGTTCGAGACACTGACAAACGCTCAATCTACTTAGTCCAGGATGCCTATATCGACAAGGTTGCAGCCAAGTACAATATCATCTCTACAGGTCGCCACTCAGAGGTGCCTATGCTGGTAAACTACCTGGATCAATCCACTGAAGAACCAAACAAAGCTTAAACAAAGATGTATCAGGAGCTTGTTGGACATCTTGCCTTCCTCACACAGTATACACGACCTGATCTGGCTTGTGCCCATGTGATCCATGCATCTCATTTGACCAACCCTGGTCAGGCACACATGGAATCAATACGAAAAGTGTGGCGCCACATCCTTGAGACAAAATATCAAGCACTGGAAGCACAAGTTGTTGATGAAGGTGGGATTCAGGAGTACCTTGCAACACCACAAGACTATCGGGATCCAATATTCTTTGGAGCATCTGATGCTGCATTTGCTGACAATGTTGAGACACGTCGAAGCTCTCAAGGATACGTATTTCAACTATTTGGCATGACTATTGACTGGAAGTCAACACTTCAATGCACTGTCACAAAGTCGACAACAGAAGTAGAGCTGCTTGCTCTATCCCTTGCTGGATCAGAGATGGAAGAATGGTGCCGACTCTTCAATGGACTGTCCTTGAAGCTCAACCAAACACCCATCATTTGGTGTGACAATCAGCAGACTGTGGGGATAGTTACAAAAGATCAGGACAAACTGAGCACCAAACTCAAACATGTTGATATTCACCAGAACTGGATCCGTCAGGAGGTTAAGGGACACCGGCTCCATGTGCAATGGAGATCCACAAATCAGATGCCAGCTGATGGCATGACCAAGATGCTTGCATGTCAAAAGCACATCGAGTTTGTCAAACAACTACACCTTGTGGACATACGTTCAAAGGTTCAGGAGATGGAAAGATAATTGAGAGTTCATCCTTTCATCATGGATTGACTACAGGATGAGGGGGTGTGTGATGGTTTATGGAGTGAAGCGGTCATGTCTGCCACGTGTGCTGGTGCAGTGCTCTTGCCTGTTCCAATAGCACTTTCTGTCTGCACAACAGATACGTCATGTAAACAGACCCCGCTGGGGGTCGAGTGAGGGAGACAGAACACTGAAAAAACAACACAACATAATATACTGATTTTACTGCTTCGCGCGGTTACCCCTGACTTACTGCCCTGCGCGGTTACACCTTCACTTATTGCATTTACTGCAACAGTACTTGCAGAAGTAGAGCTGCTCTGGCAGTGTGTGCTCCTTCTAAATCCGCCAGCCGTGCCTATATACCCAGCTGGGTCTGCCTGTAGGGGTACTGAGAGGTGGTGCAAAGCCCTTTACACGCTCCCAATCAAGGCCTTTGAAGTTGGTAAAGCTGACATCTGAAGCCTCGCTATCCTCTGAAGCCTCTGTAGCAGCACTACTAAACGCACAAGGCGAGTGAGTAGCTGAAGATGGCTTGTTGCCCACCAACTGCAATTCCCATGCCGGCTCACTGGCCCGTAGTGATGGCCTCCGGGCTTGCTTCCCTGGCTGGTCTGGTGTCATCCTGACATGGCTTGCAGCCAATAACAATCCACCCAGTCACACCTCATGGAACATCATGGAACCTCATGGAACCTCATGGAATCCCATGGAACCTCATGGAACCCCATGGAATCCCATGGAACATCATGGAACCTCATGGAATCCCATAGAACAACACAGAATCTTCCAGTTGCTGACAAATGCTGACAAATGATTACAAATGATTACAAATGCCAATGTATCTAGAACATTCCAGGAGCCAGC